CCATAATTTTTTTTAAAAACATATATAACACAGTTGTTTTTTGTCGAAAATGGTTTTATTGTTTTTCAAAATATTCCCCGAGATGATCGATACACTTTTGCATTCGATGAAACCATTTGTCATAGCATTCGTGCCACTCCGAAACTGATATCTCCAAAACGTGTGTTTTGAACGCTTCAACTGCTTCTTCTGGTGTCGAAAATCGTTGACCACGTAGTTTTTTCTTCACGCTTGGGAACAAAAAAAAGTCATTGGGTGCCAGGTCAGGACTGTACGGTGGATGACCCATCAGTTCGATGTTTTGACCGGTCAAAAATCGAGTAGTTTGAAAAGATGTGTGAGAGCTCGCATTATCGTGATGAAGAATTATTTTGCGACGGTGGTTGTTTTTTCTTATTTCACCAAACACTTCGGGCAAACAAATGGTGGTATACCAATCAGAATTGACGGTCTTACGATCCTCTAGTGGAACGGTTGCCACATGACCACTTCTCCCGAAAAAACAGGCGACCATTCGCTTCGAAGTGCTTCTTGCTCGAACAACTTTCGTTGGGTTATCTTCATTTTGGAAGACCCATACAGTCGACTGCTGTTTCGTTTCGGGCTCATAGGCATATATCCACGATTCGTCACCAGTGACGATTTTATTAACGTCTTTTGAAGCACCACGATTGAATTTCTTGAGCATTTCTTTACACCAACTCACACGAGCCATTTTTTGTTCATCGGTCAATTTATGTGGGATCCAACGAGAGCAAATCTTTTACGGCTAAATGTTCATGCAAAATTGTATGTATGCTGTGGGATGAAATGCCCAAAGATGCCTCAATCTCACGGTAGGTCACATGACGATCTTCCATAATCAGTTTTCTGACAGCATCGATGTTTTGTGGCACAACAGCCGATTTTGGACGACCTGTATGAAACTCGTCTTTGAGCGAACTACGACCGCAACGGAATTCTCGGTACCAGTTATAAATTGTCTGAAGGGTTGGTGCTTCATTGCCAAAGGCCAAATGAAGTCGATCGAAACACTGTTGTTGAGATAATTTACTTCGAAAATCGTAGTAAATCATTTTACGAAAATCTTCACGTGTAAAATTCATTTTTTTGTTGAGTCGCAGTTTACCAGTCACTGTAAACAATACAAATAGCGTTCGTACGACAAAAGGTTCAGGGCACGAATACATACCAAAACATCAAACTTTACGAATATGACAATGGTTTACATCGGGCAACACTATAAGTACCATTTTAAAAAAAATTATGGAGCAACCTACGTACAGAAGCATTTTTTTATTTGTACACACACAGTAATATTTGAGTACGGTAACACCGTATACGGTTTTATTAGAGCCTTTACTCCCCAAACTCAATTTTTGGTGTTAATTTCGTTTAAAACACATCGTTCGAATTTCTTCATAGTGAAAAAGGGGGAGTATGTGAACTCATGTGCGTTCGTTTTGTTGTTATGTAAGTCACCGCATACTACTCCCAACTGTGGGACTGTTTATACGTCGTTCGCATGTGAGACTGTTTATACGTTACGCGCTGTTCGTTGCTCTGTGACTCATACATAAACGACGAATCTAGCTCGCACGAATTTAAGACCAAAGATAGAGTCAGTTACTCGTTTTGACGGGTGTATAAAAACGTAGGTATGAATAGCCTAGGTTATTTAGGTTATGTTCATGGCGAATCGCGATTGGCAATGCTGATTCTTCTTCTTCAGACATATTGACACTTTAGTACATATCGCAACAATTGTGATTTTCTCCACGAAAAACCCTAGCAAATCGAAAAAATTTCTCTCGGATCCAAAAACCCCAGCAAATTGAAAGAATTCTCCTCAATTTTCTACACACATTTTAAAACTCTAGCAAATTCGAATAATTTTCGCGAAAAATTTTTCTCATTCAAATCACAAAGAGGAAGAATCCACACCGCCAATCATTTACCTCTTGAATGAAAATTAATTTTGGTAAAACGGAAAAGCTATATATATGAGGAATATCGGTATATTACATCCTTCATATGTATAGGAAGCTATAGGAATGTAGGTTTGGAGATTTCCTCAACAAAGCATGAAATCTTATACCTCTCAACTATCTCTTATCTATAGCCATTCCCATTTTAATTCTCAACCACTCGCATGTGAGTACATTTTTAGAGATACATATACACGAATCTCCTACTCCGAAAACGATCGAACTATATGACATGCAGTCGCACGAGAAGTAAAACGATAATGTTTTACGCTTCCTTTGCTTATACACAATTCGACCAATAGTCATGATGTATAATGTAGACGGGATATGCATATAATAATCACTGAAAATTATATAAAAATATAGCAGGAAAATACTCTTCTGTCTCTCGCTTTCGATTTTACTTGGTATTCTTTTCTTCGGTTGGCATGCGGTGTGTTGCTTTTTCGTATCTCTCGTAGACTCGGTTTTGTTCTTCATTTCTCCGTCGTATTTTTTTTATCCTACTGTAAATATACATTCTACACATTCGTTCCATCAAAATACACAAAAGTAGTGTGCTATTTTCGATTTCTTTTTTCAGTTGATTTTCAAACGGCAATCGCAACAGTATTCAATTTACATCTTGAAATCAGTGTCGATTTTTTTTTTACTTTTCATCGTGCAAATAGCTTGTTATGATCTATGAAGGACTATCAGTGGTTTGGTGAACTAGAACAGAGTACAGATAATTAGTTCGTTGATAGAGAATAAAGTTTGTTTTGAAAAGGAATAGATTAATATTTTTTGTTCACATCATACACTATCGACATGTGAGCCTTTTTTTTATAGCTGTGAAAAATAACTTTCATTCTTATTCGAGCACATCCATGGGTTGGATTTACATAGATCAATTTTTAACGGTCAATTTAACGAATGATGTGGTACTTGAAAGCAAATATTTTTTTTAGTTGAGTAAAAAAAAAAGCTGTGGAACAGGAATGTGTCAATTGGATTCAGAGAAAATGAATGATCAAATTGATTTTTACGCCAAAAACCTTATTGTATTGAAAACTCAAAATCAATATTAGGTAGAGTCATATCATGTTGCGTGAAGCAAAAACCAAATTTAGTTCCCAGGAGAGTATTTTTACAAAAACAAAATTAAAAATAGAATACTTTTTTGTGAAAAAAAAAAAAAAAATAATTTCTTCAAATGTCGCTTGAAATTTTTCTCACTCCTACTGTCTCTTTATCTTTCTTTATCCGTCAAAAAGATATTAGATATTATGACTTACGCATTTTATCAATATACATTCCACAGCCAACTGGTCACTATCACTATTGAATTTATACATATCCCTTGTGATGATTTTGAGAAAAATGTCCAGAATTTTATTGACTCATAATATAAATGAATATTTTTGCCAAGCGGAAGAATTTTTATAAGAGCATCTCAAATCGGATGCACACAAAACAATAGCAAGAAAAGAGATAAAGAAATTTGACAAATAAATGCAAAATATTGTGATCTGCATGCAAATGAAGTGTGTCTTGAAATCGGTTATTGCTCCTCATTCATACTTTTTACTTCACATCGCGCTTGTATATTGAACAAGTACATAAATGGTTGTTTTCTTTTATTTGCTCGAATAAGAGTTAGATGAATGGATGGGAGATGATATGTGGATTTGGGACGTTTCAAAGCATTGAATCAAATCGTGATGATGATGATATCTCCATTACTAATTTATTCTTGTATGGACATGAAAAGAGAGAAGGGAAAATATGCTAATCGCACACTAAAATGAAAGTAGCTGACTGTCTATTGTAAACGTGTTGTTATTTTTTATAAGCAACGGAACGACTGAAAATGTCGTTTTTCTCAAATTGTAAACATTCCATTTCAGTTTTCCACTTAGAAAAGTAGGACTAGTTTCATTTAAGCCATCATCAGATATCATGGATATAGCGTGACTTTGCGTATCATGAGCAAGCAAGAAACGGAGACATTGGAAATGGCTACAGACAGACAAGTTGACCAACAAAATGATGTGAGTGGTGCAATTGATGCTCGATATTTGAACTGAACTAGACACAAAGGAATTCAATGAAAACGAAAACATTATAGCAAAAGTCTTTAAAAATAGTATCAGCCCCCGGTTTAGATAGATGTGTACAAATCATTTAGAAAACTGCATTCAACCTTGTGCTGAAACAAAAGAGAGAAAGAAAACTGTGCTAGACATAAAACAGAGTGCTAAACGAATTTATTTCAATGTATAGTGCAAGTAGCTAATTAAACGTTCGATCGTGCAAACAATAACAAATATTCAACAATACTTAACAAGTAATCTAACCGCTAGACTTTGAGAATAGAAAAGAGTTAGTAAGCCAAAGCATAAAAAGAACGAATAATAAAAATGTCAACATCAACGCTGGGCGGCTTTGAACGTGAAGAACGCAAAATTCTCTACGACGAATATTTATTTCAGCGCCGTGTATTGTTCATAATTACAATATCGATAGTGTTCGCAGCATTTATATGGACTATTGCGATTTGTACGGATCATTGGATTCTGGTTGCCGGCGAAAAACGTATGTATTTATATATTTCATGAATGATCAACAATATATGAAAGAAATAGAACATCATTGAACCCTTTTTTACGAAATCTTGGAATTCGAATCGAAATGTGTAAAGCAACAAGTGTTTCTCATATTTAAATACCATTTGAGACGCTTAAAAAAGTATTAAACGAAAACTTCAATGAAAATTCAGTTATGGATTTTAAAATTTAAGCATCGCTCATATTTACAAGCATAAATGCAAAATAAAAATCAAATAAAATATTTAAATCGCTCACAAAATGATACAATGTGTTTTCGCAATATCACATAAAAACCTCTCGCACGACACTCTGAACGTCGTATTTTTATTTTATTTTTTCTCGCTTCAAAATGTGAAGTTCACATTCAAAATATCTCGATTCGATATTTTCCCCAACTTTGTTTTGTTTGTATTTCGCATAACTTTTAGCTTTCTCATCAAAATTTATTTTCATTTTTTGTTTATCCGGGCCAAATTAACTTTGTCAGTAAATCAAATCAAAACGACTCAATTTCAACTACGACCGTAATAACATTTTCATCACAATTAACAGACAAATATCTTTCAAATATAGACTTCATCTGCATCGGCTGATTGCCGTTATTGGAAATATAGAAATAAAATTTGAAAAATCTCTTGATTCTGAATAAACCAATAAACAAATAGTTACCTACTTTTTCACACGATGACCTATCTCTGTAAAGACTGACACCAAAAAAGCGATCGACAATCAAGCTATATATAACGTCAGTGTGTCAAATATTTGTTCGAAGCAAAAAGAAGGAAATAAAAGGGAGTTAGGAGGACAAGAAATTTTCTTTTGCAAGCAGACTATACAATTTTAATTGGTCTGCTCCTGTTACTTTTGTAGTATTTATTTTGACATTTATATGAAATTTAAAAAAATGTGTATAAAAGCATTTTGTGATTTCGATCTTAAATGCTTTATCTCAACCCATTACTTTAACATCTATCACATTTCTGATGTATATATGGTTTTATTGCATTATATTCTTTCAATAGTTTTATAGTTTGAATTGAGTTTTGAAAATGCAATATCGTTTATTCAACCGTTACTACCAATTAATATTTTCAAAAGTGAAGTCATTAGAAAATATTGGTTCGCTTTTTTTCTCCTTCCAGTGATGAACACAAACCTTTACTGAAATCCTTTTGTTCGTTTATAAAAAAAAAAAACCTTTTAAAACCGACCGTTGTTGTTTATTTTTTCTTACTTTCGCATATGATCTGGAATGAATATGAAGCTCGATGAACGGATGTTCTGGCTCGTCCAAACTTCAGATTTCAATCTGAACACTGGAAAATGAACGCGCTATTTGTTGAAAATTATCACGACATAAATTTACTGGCATAATTTATGTTATCAGCTTCTATAGAACTTCTATGGCTATAGCCATGCTCTTTATAAATGGTCAAGCATTGAAATGCAATTGGCGAATACGTGACTTTAATAGCCTCCTATTAAGAAACCTCATCTGAAATCACAAATTCTTTTTATATTCGATGTTTTTTGTTTGTTTTTTTAAATATTATTCCTACAGGAATATCATATTTTTTATAGCGTTTCACAAGAATATACAAACATCTACGACTAAAATATACAAAAAAGTTGTTTACGCGTACTTTATGAGTAAGACAAGTAAATAGCATCCTCGAAACTCGAGGTTCAAATTCATTCTTAATCACAATTGTAGTAGAATTTGGCATGTACGACTATATTCTGCTACTCGAGTTTCAATGAGTCATGTTGTTAGTATTTTAATTTCTCTACTCTTTGTCATATCATAACACAAAATACAACATGTTGATTTTGTAAATATAGAAAAAGGGTCAAGTAAACCTACAGTGAAAAAGCAGTATGCAAAAAGACCACAGACGACGATATCTATTGTCGTCTCACCGAATCACATCAAATGATACACTTTAACTAAATTGGATTTCTGTAACGACATCTCGTTTTTTTTCTTCTTTCGAGAGTCACGTTTCACTCCAATTACGTTACCCAACGAGATGCTTATCAATAATATATAAAAATACTCACAATACCGAATTTTCTCGAATCTTAAGTTCATTATAAACCAATTTAAAGACTTGTTCAATTTCGTCAATTACCGAAGAATTTTAGTTTTGACTAAACTGAACTAAAAATATGATTTGCACATTTTATAGGCTTTATAATTGAAAAACTGATTATAAGCATTTAAAAAATCATCGCGATTAACAATTGTGGGCTATTTATTGGTGTCATATTCATTGTGTTAAAATTATTTTGAAGGCAATAACTATAAAATCGAACTATGTAGCTTTCTATATTATACTTTAACGATATACTATAAATGTCTTTTATGTTCATATTCACACTTTTTGTTTTAAATATTTGACTTACACACACACCAAGTCAAAAATGTTTTGTTTTTAATTTCTCAAAAAATTTCTTTGTTTTCACGCAACTCAACTGTCGACAACTCGGCTGATGCTGTCATTTCTGCCCCAACATCTGTTTATTTTTAATATGCTGTCTTTGGCCAATTAAATAATATACACAGCTATTTTTATACCAATAAGTGAACGATATTTTCTCTCATCACATACGGGTCTATGGCGCTTATGTCGATACGCATTGACGCCAATTTTGCTGACAAATTCCACTTTACCTCAACTATTAACAAAACTAATTGTAACTGATATTAGCGAGATTAGCCAGCTGAAAAAAGACATTCGCAACGAATCATATATCAAAGAATGGCAAGACCTAAACGTTCCAATTGACAATGTAGACCGCATAGACAATCGTTTCAAACAAGCACTATTTGCAAATTGGATTCTCGAAACAAATGACTTTAATAACATCAAAACCAGATATAAAAAACTTGCCAACAATTCGAGTGTTGGTAAAGTAAAAAACGTATCCCGTTGTGTTATACCCAATCACAATTTGACATTAGTAAAAGAGCTGTTTGGACTCACCCCCCTGAATGTTCGAGTAAGTGCAACACGTCAAGCTTCAGTTATTGTGCCCGGAGACTTACAAAATGCACTCTTTGAAGAATGGCCACAAAAAGAGAAAGTCGTTTTGTTGCTGGGCCAATTTGCCAAGGAAATGAATATATCAGCAAATGTCATCTTAAATGGCACACAACTTGTTCTACAACCAATTGACCCACCACCATCCAAGCGTCAACCAAGTTCGGACTATCGATATGTTAAATATGGTATGTTATTTTAGTTTTAAGTAGTCCTTATTATATAGAAGGTGTCTAATATAAGTGAACCACTACTAAGGAGTGCGAATAGGAATAGAAAATTTATATCGGAGCAGAATTTTTTTCGGTGGGTGAAGGGGGTTGATTTTCGCAAGAATTTGTTGAAGACGCTACCTATTAAAGACATTGCTCATTTGTGTTACTAGTGCTTTGTTGACACAGCTCGAGCGAACTACAGGGTGTGCCAGTGAAACTGATATTTTTATATATGCTTATAAAAAGCGTATTTTGCGGCCAAATCCAAAAATTATTTTTGCGTTGTGTAGAGGAAGGCCACATATTTTTAATACATCAGCTAGATTGGATATCTCAATTTTTTTGTTCGGTCTGGAGACATAAATGTGCTAGAAAGAAATCGGTTACGACGCGCAACTCCATTCAGTCAAATATATGATCTAGTTGTAGCCAAGTTTCCAAACACAAATAACTTTTTTTTTTGTAGCATAAACTATTGATGTCTTAGGAAGTAAAATAAGTGCCCAGCAAAAGAATAATGTTTTTGTGTTGGACACGCCAGGCCCATTCTCAACACAACCTCACTTTTCCTTATTTTTCAGAAAAACGCTTAAAAATCAGCCTGTGAATATAAAACATTATCCAAAAACTATTTTAAATTGTCAGGAACATCAATTAACTTAGGATTAGACTTTTAGTGTAAAGATTAGATAAATTGCAATGAAATAACGAATGGATTCTGTGAATGGATTCGCGTGGAATAGCGAGACAGTGCATGGAAAAGGAAAAATAGTTCCGATTTTACATTTGTGTTTTTGGATTAGTGGAATAGCTGGATTAGTAATTTATATAGTGGATTCGTACGTACCATACCATTTTTCGCATAGTATCGAATGATATTTTTTCACTGTGTATGCTTATATTTTATCGGCTCACATTTTGTGTAATTAGTTCTTCTAATTGGCATATCAAGTAGTGGCGCCACGTAGTGAAACATGATCATTTATATAGTTCGAAATTAGAGTATTAAATGACATTGCGTCTAAAAATCAAACGGTTGATTAGACTTGAAAATGTTTATGGAAAACAATCGACTTTATTCGATTTGTTATTTATGTTCAAAATTAAACATTAAACATTATATTATAATTTCAATGATGATGTTATTATTTGATTCCAGAAATTTGCAAGTACCACAACTTTTTTCCATTGATAAATGAAACCGAATACGACCCATCAATAGACGAGGTTCTACTAGGTATGTTTATTCTGAATAAATTGTAATCAATAAAAGCATGACCGCCAATTCATCTGTGCTTTGTTGCATCTTTTTTCTCGAATTACAAAATGTTGTGCTATGTACCATTAACAGGCACAAGTTCATTCACTCATATTAACAGCATTCCCTATGTGTAAGCAATCGTTGCACATTTAATGATATTCATATAATTTCTAATATAACATATTACTTAATGAAAATAACCCTGGGAGTAGAAGGAAGTGCTGTAACTTTCGTCTTTGATAACTCCTGATAAAAGTTTTGCGTTTCTTCCCCAAAGTCTCCAATCTTTTGCCTCACAGTCAAAATTCATCTATTTCAAATTATTTTGACGACCCTGTGACAGATCCGGGCATCATTTCCCTATTGGTTATGAAACTGATATTTTATCAGTAAGCAGACATTTATATGAACATAGCAAAAAACAGTTGTTTTTATACATTTTAACGTATAAAACTATTTTAGTATGTACACGTGTAATTTTACCGAATATCATTCTGATTAAACTAGCCCGTGTACAAAAAAAGTGACTGACCATTTTGGGACAAACTGACTGTAAAAACAAGCAACCTTAGTTAAATTAAGTCAATAGTAACTTAGTCACTTTTTTTCCACTCGGGTAGTTTTTTACTTCGAAATTTTGCTCACAGTTTCTTTAAGTTTTTAGAAGGATTTTTTGCATCAAAATATATATATACATATCACATTTCTGAAACTTTTGTTAACCTATAAAATTATTTAGAAAAAAAAGTCCAGATTTCACCCGGGACACATCACTTCGAAAATGGTTTTTTTGTTACATATAAATTGGCTACATATGACCGCGTAGGACTTGAACGAAAAATAATAACAATTTGTTTTTTCGTTACGCTTTTAATTGTTGTGGCAATTTTATATGCTCTCACGCTTCCTAAATTGTTTGTGTTGAAGTATCAAGTTCTATGATGAAATCAAGCATAAACAGTAAATCGAGTATACTTTTATTTTTAGTTTATTCATTAGTCATTATAAAAGATGTTGATTCGATTTTGTTTCCTCTCAACTATATTCTATTCGTGTTAAATTTCTTGCAGTTTAATTCACACCAAGAAGAAAATCTAGTCCAAATATGCCAGCCGAAAAAAAAACATCGATAGGTTAAATCACATTTCCTTTGAGACTTTGGTTTGAAAATGGCAAGAAAATTTGAATATTTTCCAACTTCAAAAGACTCTCTCTCAATCTTAAAAATTAGAAAATTTCTAACAAATTCGAAGCGATAAACTTCATTTACACTTGACGGTTAGTCACTTTTTTCACGTTTCCGATATTTGAAATAAAAGTAGACATTTCAACTCTCAGATCTATTTTTTAATTCCAATTTTCTTCGCAACAAATAGATTTCATAAATGAATTAAGATTCAAATAGATCAAATTCGTATCATTCAATTTGGAGTTATCAACTAATTTGAAGTGAGATCAGCTTAAAAAAAAAATGCAAATACGCAATCGCAACATCTTATAATTCGAATACTGATGAAGTTGAACTTTTTTTGCTCAATTCTCATATAATCAAACGCACACATGCGTTCTTTCATCATCTTTTCCAGGCTATACAAACGAAACATTTGACGAAGAAAAATTCAAAGCACACACGCATGCGTGGGGGTATATTCAAGGTAATCAAAATCAAACAAAAAATTGGTAAGAAATTTTCCAAAATATTGCGAAAACCAAAATTTATAAATTCTCTGACCATATTTGAAATCGCACTCAAATCTGTTGACTTTGATGCTACTATATCTGTATTTTTTTAGTGCTACTATATATGGAAAACACATTTGTATTAGTCTGTGATGTACACATGTTATTTCTATTTTCATACATAAAAGTAATTTATTTAAGGAAATCCCATTTAGTGATAGATGTGTACAAGCAGTTATTTTTAGCTCAAGAATTTTATTCACAATTCAATCGAACAGTAAAATAAGAACAAAAGATAATAGTCAATATATTATCTATCTTTTCCGTATGTTATGCTGCATGTAAAATCAAAAACTTAAAATTATAACGGAAATATTGTTATGAAACGTAAAGAATACGGTTTATTCCCTGCATTTATTCGTTCTCATGTATGGAGATTTGTATGGTGTTGTTTTTCCCTTCATTAAAAGATATAATAATTCACTGAAACTAAGGAATACAACTATAATTTATATTGTTGACGAATTTATTTATTATTATATTTAATAATATATTTAATTTTTAGATCTTGTGCGGACTCAGGCATCGTTTGCTTGTATTTGCTTGCTTATTATGACAATGGCTTTTGTATTTTCAATGTACACATTTTTAAATCCACGATACATGTTCAAAAGACTGGCGGCCGGCGTTCATTTCATATCAGGTTTTTCTGATCAAATATTTTTGTTGGAACAACTTTGAGAAATACATATGTTCTTTTTCATTTTCAAAATATAGCATCCATATGCTTTGTAGTGTTGCAAATAGTATCAGGCGTCGTTCAGTATGAAAGAGAAAACATGAAGTATTTGTTTCCCACAGGAGCTGAATACAGCTATGGATACGGCGTTTATATGGCATGGGCTGTATTTATAGTAAATGCATCGGCGTGCTTTTTATTCTTATGGTATTCAAAGAAGAGAAAAGGCAATAAAGCTCCAACTGAAGAGCTGGCGATGGCCGATGAGCCCATTGGATTGGGGAGATAAAGCTGGAATTTTTCTCATTTTGTTTTTAAAAATATCATAACACCAACTCCAAATAAAAATCCATTGCGAAATGTTATTTATTCATTTCACTTTTATGCCTTCTTTAATTACATATTTAAGTTTTGTTTATTCACAACATTGTTGAAGGAATAATAAATGTATATGTTTCGAACAAAAATGTCTCTTTTGAATTGATTTGAATATGAAAATGAAAGTGTTGAGTAAATAATGAAAAATCAGATTTTCAACGCCCTCTCTGAATCGGATATTGAGTCACACCAATGGCGTATAAGAGTGACCTCTGTCGCTATATTTTCAACAATCATATTCGACATTCCGATGACAGCACACAACTCACATGTGCTTCGAATAAACACATTTCGGTCGCACATAAATGATAGTTATCCGCATTTTAAATCGCATATTTTTCAATCTACCTTTAGAAGTATTTTAGGTGTTGTTTTTTTGTTCTATACTAGAAAAATGGCCAAAAATAAGAATTTAAAACGCAAACCGGCACCATTCAACAAAAATAAACAGAAAGAACCCATAGAAGATGAGTCGACATCAGATCAAGAAGTAAATACTCTTTTATAAGGGAAAATCTATGTTTAAGTACCATATCAAAATGTTTTTTTATTTAATTCCCAAACTAGGAAATAACATTAAATTATGTGGAAAATGATGCTGAATCTTCTGATTCAGAGAATGAAGAGGATGCAGAGCAGTCATCTGATGATGAGTTAAGTTTTGAAAGTGACGATGAAGGTAACTATCAACAAAACTTAAACAAAAAACATCATGTGCCAGCAGACAGTAGTGATTTGGATGAAATCGATGAAGAAGACGAAAGTGAAGAAGATGTGAGCGATGAGGAACAAAATGACGATGATGTGTATAGCAGTGATGGTAGTGAGGAATTGTCATTTGAAGAAAATAGCGACTTGAGTGAAAATGAAGAGGAGACACCAAGTTCAAGTAAGAAGAAAGTAGTTTCAGTGAAAGAGAATGGAACAAAAAAGTCAAATGATACGAAGAAACCGGGCAATAAGCCTGTTAGAAACACTGAACCGAAATCTGTTGTTTTATTCAAGAACGAATTGAATAAGACTGATGGTAGTTCAGGCAAAAGTAATAATAAATTAGATGAATACGAGAAGCACGATACTGACGACGAGGAAGATATTCGAAATACAGTTGGCAATATTCCAATGCATTGGTACGATGAATATAAACACATTGGCTATGATTGGGATGCCAAAAAAATTATTAAGCCAACAAAACGTGATCAACTCGATGATTTCTTGAAGCGAATGGAGGATCCAAACTTTTGGCGGACAGTTAAAGATCCACAAACCGGTCAAGACGTTATACTCAGTGATGCTGATATTGACTTTATTAAACGTATTAACTCTCGACGTATACCCGATGCCAATTTCGATGACTATACCGTATGTATTTATTTTATATATTTGTTTATAAAAAATATGAATAGCGAACTAACGTATTACAATTAAATCAAATTATTTTCACTCCAGCCATGGATTGATTGGTTTACATCTGAGGTAGAAAGAATGCCAATCCGTAATGTTCCAGATCACAAACGTTCATTCATTCCGTCTGTATCTGAAAAGAAGAAAGTGTCAAAATTGGTTCATGCAATTAAAATGGGTTTGTATTAAGATTTTTTGTTATGATGAAAATTGCTATCCATTATTTCTATCGCTTCCATTATCACTTGCACATTTTTCTTCTCTGATTCAATCCCTTCCAGGTTGGATGAAAACGACTGAAGAGCTTGAAAAGGAAAAAGGGAAGAAAGATCCACAATTTTATATGCTCTGGGAGACAGATACCGGTAAAGAAGATATGCGCCGTATTCATGATCATGTTTCCGCACCAAAACGTGATTTACCTGGTCATGCTGAATCATACAATCCACCACCAGAATACCTCTTTGATGAGAAAGAGATGCGAGAATGGCATAAATTTAAAGAGGAGCCATCGCGGCGTAAACTACACTTTATACCACAGAAATTCAATTCGTTGCGTGAGGTACCATCTTACCCTCGATACATTCGTGAACGGTTTTTGCGTTGTCTTGATTTGTATTTATGCCCACGTGCTCGTCGCATGAAACTTAACATTGATGCTGAGTATTTGATCCCGAAATTACCATCACCAAAAGACTTGCAACCCTTCCCAACAACAGAAGCCTTGATTTATGAAGGTCATACTGATTTAGTGCGTACAATTACAGTCGAACCGAAAGGCGAGTACTTTGCATCCGGATCAGATGATACCACTGTTAAGAGTGAGTTTAATTGTTCACATTGTATTACATTTTTACTAAATATTCCTTCTGATGATTTATTTATTTATTTTTTTAGTTTGGGAAATATCAACTGGTCGTTGTATTAAAACTCTAGAAACTGGCGAAATTGTACGGTCGGTGGCATGGTGTCCGAATCCAAAGATTTCATTGATCGCAATTGCAAGTGGCCAACGCTTGATTTTAGTGAATCCCAAAATAGGTGACAAGATGTTGACCAAGAAAACCGATGAAATTTTGGTCGAAGCCCCAAAAATAGATTTATTGGAAAATGATCGAATTAAAACGGCCGTTCAGTGGTCAACAAGTGAAGGTGACGAATATGAAAAGGGTTTCCGCTTAGTTATAACACACTTTAAACCAATCAATCAAGTTACCTGGCATGGACGTGGTGACTACTTTGCAACCGTTATGCCTGAAGGAGCCAATCGTAGTACACTCATTCATCAACTATCGAAAAGACGTACACAAATACCGTTTTCAAAAAGTAAAGGTCTTATTCAGTGCGTCTTATTTCATCCAGTCAAACCATGTTTGTTTGTAGCTGTAAGTACTAAATTCTTAATTCCATAAACCCAGTGTTCATTAATCAATGTTTTATCAATTTTTTTTTTTTTTTTGGTTTTATATAGACGCAGAAGAATATCCGTATCTATGATTTAGTCAAACAAGAATTGCTTAAAAAATTAATAACGAATAGCAAATGGATTTCGTGTATGGCGATACATCCCAAGGGCGATAATTTGTTGGTGTCCACGTATGACAAAAAGATGCTATGGTTCGATTTAGATTTGTCCACGAAACCTTATCAAACCATTCGCTTACACAAAAATGCCGTTCGAAGTGTTGCTTACCATTTAAGATATCCCCTCTTTGCTTCAGCTAGCGATGATCAATCAGTTATTGTTTCACATGGGATGGTATACAAGTATGTACTCTTTATATAGTTATGAGTAAAATATATAATAAATAAAATTGTGACTTTTTTTGCAGCGATTTATTACAAAATCCATTGATTGTACCGCTGAAGAAATTACAAACGCACAAGCCACACGATGACTTTGGTGTTTTTGATGTTGTTTGGCATCCAACACAGCCATGGCTCTTTTCATCTGGTGCCGATTCAACCATTCGTTTATACACATAAATTATAGTTTCTTTTTTCATGAAATATGGAAATTTTATCATATTTTTTTAGATTTAATAAATATTATTTGATATTTGAAAAATATGACGCATTATTTCGAATTATATTGTGCTATGAATCGTGTAAATAAAAAATATACGGTTACCCTTATATTTTGTAAATTTTCTGTTAAAAATACATGGTAAATTTGAATTTAGGTTTGAACAATTAAATAACCTTGCTTCGAATACGGACAACAATGATCAGTAGTCATTACAATAATGTAGAAGTTATTTTCGAAATTCGAATTCAACCTGAATGAAAATCGAACAAATCTGTATTACCGATGATCAGTTCAAATGGAACGAAAAAAACGATAACATAACACCTGTCAATCGAATGTAATATATTTGACAGTTAAATACGTAAATACATGATTGAATAGACGGCAATAGCACATGGAGCACATGTTCATTGAATGAAGTAAACAGAAAAAAAATAAAAATGACGCGACACAAAAAGTTCTTGAAATCTGAAAAGGCAAAAATAAAACTAAAGGGAGCAAAACTTCCAAAAGGCTTAAATGTTACCAAAACGGAATTTAAAGTGCGAAAAATTGTGATTCGTGATCAAATTAAGGAACCAACTATAGTTGACGGGACAATAGTTCGATCCAACATAAAGGTAAAACCGAATTCAAATTGTTAATTTCCTTGTTAGTTAACGTAAAATGCTTTCCAACAGGATTTGTTATCGAAGCTACAACATCATAATTCTTCTAGTCGAAATGAAGGTCTACATTTTTTAAATGAAATTATAACGAATCATCCACAAGAAACCAGCAAACATTTAGGAGCCATAATCCAGGGAATTTCTCAATTGGCATTAGATATTGAGAAAGACGTTCGTAAAGAATGTTTTAAAGCATTGAATTTGGTGTTTGCTTCACAAACATCGAATTTAATTTCGCCATTTTTCAATATTATCACATCGTATCTACGATGTGCTATGACACACATAAACATCCAAATTCAAGAAGATTCGTTATTATTCTTGGACTGTTTGCTTATGTACAGTCCATCGTTAGTTGCATCGAATAGTGACATTATTTTTTCATGTTTCCTCGATATGATTTCAAAATTGCGCACCGAAGCGAAACCAGACCGAACACTCACAACGAATGTGGGACGAAAATTGACAGGCGTCAAATGGAGAAGCAAAGTACTTGATCGTCTGTTGGGTATTTTGAAAGCATTTGTAGCACATCGAAAACATGCAAGCATGGAAATACAAATGGATGTAGATCAAGCATCAAACACAGTAATCGATGATGCGTAAGTTTATCAATTAAGAAACAATATATCGTAAAAATTTGATCAGCAACTTAACCGGCGTTGTTCTTTTTTAGGTTTAAACTTCCAATTGAGCAAACAATAATGGGTGGCAGTCTCCAAAAAACACAGTTTTCATTTGATGATCGTAACGATTTTTTCATTTCATCGGTACGGAAACAACTGAATAGAAACTGCGATTTGCCATTATTATTTCGTAAAACCGGTTGCGTGGCCACCGCAAATGCATCAAATTTATTGATGGAACGTGACGAAGGGCAAAAATTTCAAAAATATGTTGAAATTTTAATGCCACTATTATTCGAGACTTGGATGGAAGCTCGACCTGCAAGTAATTCAAAAAAATCAACGGCTGAATTTATTAATGAAGATGTGTGCATATCCAATGAAGCTGCATTCACATTGAAATTCACTATTGAAATCATCGAACAACTGTTAGAATTTATTCAAATGTGTGATCATGATGTTAATAACGATGACCTTATCAAATGGTTCCGGAAAAGATACAGCCAAGAATTTTCGAATCAATTCTTAAATGAATTTCCGTATCGTCAAACTGATGGATTTAAAGGTTTTAAAAAAGCAGTCAAACAAAAATAATATGTTTAATTGTTCAAAAAATAACTTGAATTGTTTCTCATAGGTAGTAAACGAAAATCAAAAGGAATGGCAACAGAGCAAGATGTTTTTGAAGCAGGCGGTCAAAAATGTATCCAACAAAATTTAAATATCGCTTTTGTATTCTGGACTCTGAGCAAAAACTCACGCAGTAATCAGTCATTGAAAACTGTCATCGAATTTATCAAAGGTGTTACAACGTCTTTGCAATACATAAAATACAAAATCTTATCGGACCAATATTTTGTTTTTCTTTTTTATAGAGAGTTTAGCTTGTGTAGATTCATATGGCACGGATGTTTTGCAAATCTTGGTAAAAGTGTTGCGAACAATTTTGGTTGATAATTCTCAAGAGCGATTAGATACCACGTCAGAAATCAAAGAGCTTTTGTCAACAGTTGTTGTGCTTTATCAACGTGGGAAGTTTCCCAAAGAGATTCGAACCCGTATTTTAATCATATTGTGCGATATTGTGCTGGACCACAAACTTTATATTGCTTATGGACAAAATATTTTTAGCAATTGGTTGTCAACACTTCCAAAACTGCTATGTCAACCGTATGTTTCACCACATGTTTTAAAGACATTTTCCCATCTAACTCGGCAGAAAAATCCAATATTTATTAAACATTTAGAAGAAAGCAAAGACGCTATTATCGGTAACATTTTTGAATAATTGGATATTTTTAATTGAAAAATAATATGAATCTTTTAATTCAATAGCGAATTTGCCACAAGTTAACATCATTGGATTAACGAATCAAACACAAGAAAAACAAGAAATAATAAATTTATTTTTCTGGCTAAAGTCATGGAAACCAGATCAAAGTGAAGCACGTAAAAATCAACTTGGGAATGAATGGCCAATGATAGAGAAAGTATTTCAAATCAAAAATTATTATTAAACACCATGAGATGAAATTTGAAATTAAAATGAAAATCGTTATCAAAATTGAATATGTTTTCTTAACCTTTATGTGATTTGTTTAATTTCCAATCAACCAGAAAACGAATTAAAACATTTTTGAGACACATAAAAAATTCAAATGCATTTTTTTTTTGTTTTGGTACATTTTGAATCATTGTAATTCATTTTATTAGTAGTTTCTGTCTGTTCAGTTTTTGGTTGCCTTTAAAATTCAATAGAATCTAATTATATAATATTTACATACAATAGAATTTTTTTACGGTTTATTATTGTTTTTCTTGTTAAGAATGAAAAGTAAGTCTGTTCTGAAGTGTATTTAAAAATAAATCATTGCAATGAAAAAATTTATTTTGTTCCAAATCGATGCATATGTGTCCTAATAGCTAGTTCAGAATTTTGAATAATAAAAAAACAGCAATTCGACCATTTTCCTGAAAATGTAAAAATGAATTTTGAACACTCCATGATTCTTTCAAAATCAATGGCAACACTCACTTTCAGCCAAGCGTTCAGAAAGACATACATTTATGCGAGCGATTGAATGATGCTTGCATCATTTGATGCGCATCGATTGTGCTGTTGCCATACATTCGGATCTTCGGCAGCGCACGAAGTGCTCCGAACGCACAACGAAAGCACTAGCGATGCGCATCAAATGATGCAAGCATCATTCAATTGCTTGCATAAATGTATGTCTTTCTGAACGCTTGCTTTCAGCACTTCAGATATCTCCCTCATCCCAAGGTGCATAAGCTGGACCCCCATTGTCTTTTCATTTTGAACTTATGGTTAAATCCGAATTACTGCCGTTTGTTTCATTTCAATTCAAAGTTCTGGACTCTATTGGGACACCCTGCGTTTACCACATCGATTTAGACATGCTACCCATGCTTATTTCGAAAATGTGTCATCAATTTTGTTGAGTTTCTCCAATATATGTACTGTGATCAATTGGATAAATAAACTAATTTTCAAAATACAATGAAAAATTGTGTGAAAAATCGTCATCGATTACGAAATGAATTCAAATATAAATGAAATTACGTTCTTTTTCGCGAATTAATGTATATTATATATATATTTCCATTTGCACAGATGGTGGATCATAGAGAAATTGGTGTATGCTTTTTTTCTGTCGTATGTGTATGTGTGTGTTTTTAATGAAAGAGAGCGAGAGAGAAATAGAGATTTATGTATAGAAAATGCCGTAATTTGCAATTAACATAGCGCAATCATAATAATTAATCATTTTATATCATTCGATCTATATTTATTCGGTTTAGTTTTTGTTTACATCGGGTCGGAACGGTATTGTGATTTTTTATTCCATGTGTATGTATAAAAATGGTTTGAATTTTTCGAAATGTTCACATTTGCGACGAAGATGATTAGATAATAAATAATTTTGAATACATATGTAAATGTTCATATTTACTTTTATAACTGTATTTTAAATACATGTGCTTGTTTCTTTTTATATTAATGAAAATATGACGACTGATTGATAATGCTTTAAAATGTCTATTTATTTATGTTGTTGTTTTAAAATTATTATTTTTTCGGACTTTTATTCAAATAAATTTGACCATTTTGTAGATCTGTAGCACTGTCTCCTCCGTTTTAAGATTTTTCAAACGAATTTAGTATCTGATTTTCTACGCAATTTTTGCTAACTACCAAAATTCCTATTGTTTCCTGGGGTTAACAGAGATTTCAAAACGATTTAACTCGTTCGAGTGTTGCATGGATTTTTTGTTTATTTCAAACACTCAATTCCCACACCAGACATACAAGGTTTTTTTATATTTCTTATTTTTGATATATGTTTTTTTTTCTAATTTTTTTTAGTTTGTTTGTAATATATTATTGGATTAGTACTATGAAATGTCGTTATAAAAATGTCCCATATTTGTTGCTTGAATTTCAAATTATTTTCAAATTTTTGAGTTAAAAGCCCATAATTTTGATGTACTTTTTTTGGATTATATTTCGCAAAAATATCTTAGGTTGCCAAAAATTCCTTATCGTTATTTAAACAAAAAGTTGTATGCATTGAGCATTGTATTGGCATTATGTTAAACATTTATCATAAAGGAGGGGTCCGATTACCCACAAACAAAGTGTTATCTCTCAAGAATTTTCAAAGAATTCTTTTCATTTCTTTTTCGCAATTATCGATGAATTTCCGTTATTTTTTTATTTACGCATTTTAGTCGCTTTCATCACAGTTGCTATAGCAGTTCTATAAAACCAAATTCATAAGGACCGAAATACAGTTTTTATTTTTAATAATACTTCTCTCATAAAGAATCGTATCTTATGTTCAGACAAAATCGGAAGATGATGCTTGTGGATCGAAACAATTTTGCTATTGAATAAAAATGAGTTGGTATCCCCTTTAGTGTGAAGTTGAATTGTGCTAGTTTTTACTACGGTTTTTCTAGTTTTCTAGTTTCGTGGATGACTCCATGGTTAAAGCAAATAAAATGTTCTACATCTGTAAGATGAACTTTTCCGCACTGTGATCCACGACATGCATTTATTATATATTTTTACTTAAATTTGAATTCACGAGAAAATTGAATCTGACATTAGTTTTGCGATACATATAATTTTTGTCTAACCTTTTATACAAAAATTACTAAAAATGGGAATTTTTGCATGGAATCAATGGCTGTATGATATTGTAATTACGTAAACTTTGCACAGGTTATTTGTTTCACAAAAAGCTAACATTTCGAAAGTTTGAAGAAATTTCAATACATATTAGGGGTACTTCCCATATAAAATTTTCATCTCAGAATGTTTTTTTTTTTGTGAAAAGAATAACCCAGACATTAGGTTCGAGCTATGCATGTCGAAAAGTGTGTCGTAAATTATTTGTATGGCAAAATTAATATCATATTCGGTTTTCTCGTTCCAAAAAATAGATATTTTTGATGAAACTATACCCTATCAACCAAAGTCGATCAAAATCTAATGGTTTCTATTTCTTGCAAACCTTTCAACTTTCTTCAAAATTGAAGTCAATTTTATACTTTTTTTCCTTGAACATCATTTTTCTTAAATTTTGATGGCAGCTTTTCATTTTTATTAAATTCAGAGATGTGCGACTAAAAAAAATCGATAAAGAATTTTTTACAACCCAGTAGTTAGATTGCGAAACATAAATCAAAAATAGTAAATAATCAATAATCATGGTTATTAACAATGGTTATTGCAATAATTTGTCATTTCATTTGAATTGTATACAAATCATTTTAGAGTTCTCCTTTGTGCAACATCAATTTGAAATTCAAAAATATCGGATATTTTAACGTAATTATTATCTCCAAACTGATGAATATATCACAAAATTATTCCAGGTAACGTATTTTCCAACATAATTGCATAAAATCAACTGCAAAAATCGTTTTGAAAATCTTGAACGATAGGGAGAGTGTAACGCACTTTCATTTCATTGGTGTGTTTTATAGTGTCAACAAAACAGTGTTTTAGTGAGCTTGTTGTATTTATTTATCTCATTTCCTTCTCAGACTTATTCACTTTATTTTTATTTCATCAATTTGTCTATTTTCTTGTTTTGTTTGTGTCTCTGTGTGTGTGTGTGTCTTTTATGGAGAAACGTACTTTTTCGTGTTTGTTATGAACTTTTTTCCACGTCTCTTAAAGGATTTTCGCTATAACTTATAAGCTTTTCAAAGTTTCTATATTATGTTCATTTTCTCCTACTAAACTGGTTAGTCATACATCAGAGATATATTTATGTTTGAGAAGAACTTGGACTAATTATTGGTCGTTGGTGTAATCGTCATTTTCAAACTTGTTCAGAAATGATTACGTTCATTTTTCATTTTGGATTGGTGACAAATTGTGATAGGTTATCAAATGACAAATAAAAGAAAAAGAGATACACATTTGTATACTAATTCGATTTTGCGAGAACCTGTGATTTCGGAAGATAGGTCTGTCTGTTTTTTTATGGTTGTATTTTTTCAATATTTATCCCATGCTATCAATGGACAGATAGATGAGAATCAAATACAATTATGCTTTATTTGCAACATGAAGTTGAGATGTTGAAACACAAAAACAATTTGTACATACATGGTATTGGGTAAAAGGATTTAATAATTTTATTCATTCGGCGAGTGTAAATATTTATTTCGATTAATAAATAAAACATTAAAACATTTTTTAATGGTAATTTCGATAAAATATACGAAATTTTTGATAAAATTACGAGCATCCTATGGCCTTTGGCCATTCATATATTACTTTGCTAATAAAAAATATTCATTTTTGTGTTATTTTCTCATGATAACTCAGTCTCTGAAAAACACTCGCAGATAAATGTATATATTTATATCGATATCATATACATTCAACTTATTGCTTCTTAACTGAACATTGAATTACAACCACTGTTCGCCTATAGAGTTTTTTTTTAAATAGAATATATAATGGTCAAATTGTATCGCAAAAGTCCAACTAAGGTAATTCTAGTGTTGGTCAATTACACTAGAATGTAAATGGAGTTTTCCGGTGTTTCGATTCGACCGTTCATTCTACGTAAATGGACTAGATTTTTTTTTATTTTCTACTGAAGTGAATATTTTCATCATAAGTTGAATTTTACTACAAAAAACAACCATTCAGAATGTATTCTTTTTTGTTTCATTAACTTTTTCACTTTGTTGATCATTGGCTACTTTGTATAAATAAACTTTTAATATATATGTAGAGTTTTAATTCTCGACGAGAAACTGTCAGTTTTCTGTCATCATTTATCTTCAATCACTAACATAACGAATTGTTATAATTTGTTGTTTTTAAAGCCAACTTTATATTTAACTTAGAACTTCTAAGAGCTCATCCGTTTCCTTCGTACATGGCCTCCATCGTGAATATTGTGAATATTCGTTCTCGCTTTTCTACATCTTTTTTTTTATCAATCCTAAGTCATGGTTATTTTCATTCAGAAAAACTACAACATTTTCACAATAGTTATATTTTAAACCAAAAATCTGGTTGGTAAAGATATTCACAATTTATAAGTTAATAAAGTATTTTTTTTTTCTTTGTCTGTCTGTTTTTTTTTTCTTTTGTTCGGAAAAATAGAGATCAATAAAATATAATTAATATTAATTCATATACAATAACAATAAAAAAATCCAATCTGCTTAATTTTGTCATTTTATTTTTGCCCATCTTCTTCTTACAATTTTTGTAAACGATGCAATCGTTCTTATTCATCATTTTTACATTTAAGTGTCTTCATTTGAACTTAGAAACTAAATTTTTACCTAAAATTTGATACTAGTTTTTTTAATATCTTAGTTGAATCTTGGTTGAATGTTGGTTCACGTAACACGGAAAATCGCATGATTTTATTCAAGTGCATTACCAAAATCTGCAAAGAAAACGTAGAACAAAAATAAATCGTAATGTTTTAAAGTCCATTGTTCCGTTTAGTTTGTATAAAATTGAAAACTTTAATGTTGTTCCAGACTTTTTCTTCAAACTGGAACCTTAACTAATTCAATCATTGAGCGTAAAAAAGGGCTATCGATTTTCTGGTTACTTCGCATTTCGTATTTTTATATGCAATTATCAAAGTTTATCAATTTGTTTGGTAAGCGTTTTTATCTTTTTTGTTCGAAAATTATAAAAGGAGCACAAATTTGTCCGTATCCGATAATGTAATAGAGAACAGAAAAATTGTAAATCAGTCAATTGGAACCAATGTTGACGCTTGATATGAATTTAATGATGAAAAATGGATTTTTTTGATTTGGCCCAACACGTCCAACTAATGCCCTGACGCTCTTTGATATAGATACAAATTACAAATGAATGAAACAAATGAAGGGAAAAATGGAAATGAATGGAAAACTATGGCAAAGAAAAACAGAAATAATAAATGAAAGGAGAATTGGAAAACTCACCTGAATATCAGTATATTGAGCAGAGCACTTGAAAAGAATAAATTCTGGATGAAATATTTAAGTTGAGCAGCAGAACTTGTTCCCGGGATTGGTTTACGGCGAGAAATTGCGGCCATGTTGTCGCCTAAAAGTTAGAAATGCGTAAAACTTATAAATTTTGAGCGATAAAGTCAATGAAATTGTCTATTATAGCCTGTTTTTTGCGGTTCACTTGCAGTGCTTTTCAACTGTTACCCAAACTAAAATTCAATTTCAGTGATTTTAATTTTAGGAAATCGAGAAAAATAGGTCATCGGCTGTTTGACATTTATTTTTTTTTGTGTGCGGTCGGTACGAGGTTTTTTTTAACTCATACCGTATTGCCACAACGCAACTGGAAAAGTCACATAAACCGATTTGCTGGATTATCGCCGAGTCGATTCACAATTTACTGATTAAATATTAGCTCATTGGGCAATTGGACAGTTTGAAACCAATCGGCATTCGTCCGGCCGTTAATTTAATATTACGCTGATGTTGTTGTTGTTGGTGGTCTACTATTGGTGGCTTTGGCAATGCACATCCGTTATTGCAACAATGTTGGTATGCCATTGGAAAATATCGAAAATTATTTGTGTGTATAACGGTATTTAAAGGCTGCATAACTAGTGGTTATTAAACCACGCAAACCAATATTTAAAGTAATTTGAAACATTTTATTCGTTGTCTTTTTTTTTTTCAACGAATTGGAACGCTCTGTACTAGGCTCTGTATATATTTTTAAGTTTCATTTCTCTATTGTTTTCTCTATCTGTTTGACGTGGTAAGTTTTCTTTTTATTGCTTTTGATTCGATATATGGTTTACTTTACCATAACAGTGTCGGATATATTTTCTCATCTGATGAATGTTATGCATAAATTTGAGTTAATGGCTTTACTTAATGTAATGCAATATCTCAACTGAAACCGATATTATCGAAATTGAATGCAAAATACGAATTATATTGCAAGCAATCTATTGATCTTCAGCAAATAACATTTCGATTTTGGTGGATGAGAGAGAGAAAGTGTATAAATAACCGACAGCATTCGATGACCCAATTGAGATTGAGATATGGTCAAATTTGTAATGTAACGTGTATTAAAAATCACTTGAAACTAACCTTTGGAATAATTGTTGAATTACTAAAACGTACATACCTTTTGAGACAAATACATATATGCTAGCGGGTTCAGTGTTTGGTGCGGAACAACTATAATTACCGGAATCTGATATTTGTGGCTCACGTATAATTAAGCGGCTTTGTGTTCTAAGGCCCGGTATTGTGTCTATAGTTATGTCTCTGCGTGTATCATCGTAATTAATCATACGGTCATTCAGATTCCAATAAACATATTGCGGTGGCGTTGGGCTCTACTCATTTCAAGTGAAAAGATAAAAAAAGGAGAAGAAAATAAGTTCGAATGCCACTTCATTTTAATTGTCATGGCATATAACATGCCATTCTTAAGCTAATAAAATGAGAAAACCAACAAAAAAGCAATGATCGTAGAATAAGAATGAATAAAAGAAATCAAAATGAGATCCTTTTCCATTTTTCCGACTTTCGTACATGTCGAATAATTTTATACATTTGTATTGTGGTTCAATTAAACGCCTTTTTTCACAAATTGAACAAACCAATCAATGGAATTTGATTTTTTGTGGATCAATTCTACTATTGTGCGTTGAATACTGAGAGAAAAATGGTTATACAAAGCTTAACGTACATCCAATTCAAAATGCACTATAATTTATATTTGGAACACGAACAAGGCATTCCTTCCAGAACGGTGCAACCATATATTGGTTGGTTTACATATTTTTTTTTCTTTTTTGATGTGGTGCGCGCTTCCAAACTGAAGATGTTAAACCCGTATGAATAGCAGACATTCGAAATTGTGAAAATTCAATGGTATTACTATTACGTATATGGTTATTACTACGTAATATAACACACAAATATTGTTGTAAAGAGTTTCAAAGAAATTATCTGAGCCATGATGACGAATATATTTATAAATAAAATCGATAAATTGTAGGTGTACATTTTAAAAGGTGTAATGTGCTGAAAAGTTACGCTTGGTTGATTTTGATTCTGTTGATACAAAGGTTCGTTTTTCCTTCCACTGTATACGGGATACGTCTATATGTTCATATTGTACATTTTACAACGACGTTCTTTTGTTAATTGTTAATGCTACATTCTATGATGCTACAATTTCCCTTCAATTCGTCTAAAGTGGTTAAAATGCGCGCATTTTCACAATTTGTAGATGTTGTATATATTTTATGCTTCTATTTAAAAATAAAATAAAATGACATTATTTATGTAAAAAAAAACGAAACGTTCTTCTTGAAGATGTAGCATTGCTAAAAAAAATGTACACTGTTATTATTAATATTATCATATATATTTTGTTGTTGTTCGAGATGCACGGATATTGGCAGGTAAGAGAATATTGGAAAACTTCAAAACTTGTTTGTATGTGAGTGCACTAATCTTCACAGCTCACCATTAATAGATTTCATGTTGAACGGTACTAAACTGTGCGGTGAAAATATGAACAAACATCCTAGGTTTCATTTAAACGAAGGTCCAAACCGATTCAAATAAATTGGAACTTCAAATTCATGTTACATGTTCTTGATAGATATGAACGGTATTGAACCAACACTATCAAATATCATAATTTGCAGATGACTTATCCAAAATTTCTTCGTTATTTCATTCATTGGAAAATCTGTATGCATTGTTGAGGTATGAGGTATTTTAGTATCGTTTAGTAAGCAAGAGTAGCATTTAGTTCAATTGGAAAATAAAAATGCTCATTATTATAAAATAAAACGATTGGACAAACTTAAATGATATCAAATTCGTATAAGCAAAACAGAAGAGTTTTATAGAAATGTATGACAATATAGATGGAAAGGGAATATTGATGAAAAAGGTATTTCATTGCTTTATTGCCAATGAGAAATTATGACAAATGCCATAATGTTAAACGTCAATTTTGTATTCATGTTTGTAAATGCATTGTTTTCATTGATTCGTATTTAAAGAAAAATTCCTCTCATAGCCATAATTTCTCATTGTTTCTCTGAACTTTTGCTATAATGATGAAATACATTCACTCACCTTTTCAATTATGCAAACTAAATTAATAGTTGATCCCACTAAAAATGTCAATAAAAACAGAATTATAACATATATTCTTAGGTCTTGTTCACATAACAATTATACTTACTATCAACATGCAATTCACCAGAGCCCAAGATAAATGCTTCAGGGACAACAACTTGCAGATTAACAAAATGCGATATAACACCTGTCGATGTTGATACCTATATGATATGTCCAACAAAAAAAGCAATAAATGAAAGGAGAAAATGATACACAATTATGGACGATGGTATAACTACAATTATAATAATTATTATTATTCGGCAGACACCATTTGTTGCACAATTCTGTCAAATGTTTCATAAAAAGTCTTTAAGAATACTCTGATCGGTCGTGCATATAACCAAATTGGTTAAAGCAATTCGAAAGAAGCTTCTAATCATGGGGAGGTTGTATCAACAAATTTAAAACTTGGCGCAGTGATTAGATCCGAAATGAGTTTTTAAAATACAATGAATTGTCCATTTGAGTTGAGGGTGCTCGCTTAATTCATGAATAATGATGCTTACAGCCGCTCATTATTTCTGATATGTGGTCATAGCTCGGAAAAATTCTTGCGGTTGACACCATTGAATTTATCGGATCAGAATTATGTGAGATGTGTTGTTAAAACGGAGTCAACGTGTAAAACTATCACAGAACCATTTTTAAAAGTATGCCACTCACAGAATATGGTAATATAGTCGATCGTCGAATATTTAAAAAAAATATATCAACAAAGTTATAAAATTAATTAAAATGTGTATTTCACTTACTTGACACTTTTGATTCCATTGACAAAAAATATTGAAAGAGAAAGAGAGAAAATTAAATGATTTTCTTTGCTTTTGAAGCACTTGGCATCAAATTATGCTTCAATATATAAAAAAACACAATAGTCCAATAGAGACATTGAAAAAACTGCTTACCTCATACATGCCGTGATCCCGACGTTGAACAAATTTTATTTGCAATGTCCACGTGTTTGAACCAGGTGTATGCAATATGGCAAATCTTTCGTCGTTTGTGTACATCTGTGCTCCCGATGATAATATGTGCCAGTCTCTTCGTCGAATCCACGAAATTTGATTCTACGCCGCCATTATTATTTAAAAAAATATTTTAATTAGAATTAGTTAAGAGTTGAAAAACGACAAATATTTTAATTTAAAAACAATGTATTCAAAATGGCATGCGGTAATGGATTTTTTTTATTGTTGCTTTTTTTCAAATCTGGGCTACCATAACTATAAGAAATAAAAATGATTGAATTATTTTAAAAGAATGTATGTGCTTGTATTGCACTTGAACCAGGATATAATAAAGAAAATGGTATTTCATGCAATACGACGGAATAATTAATGGAATAATTGAAAATATACGCATGAAACCGTAAACAGTTTCAACTGATTTTTGTCTCGTTTGAAGTTAATATTTACCAAATTTGCAATACGAATCGAAAAAGATAAAGAGTGTCGCCATAAATCAGATAAATATGTAAATAGTTGCCGAAAAATGTGAAGACTTATAGTCATTTGTAAGATAACTGAAAGGGATATATTCAGCCAGATATGACACTGTAGATGGTAATTGTGCAATTTGGACTCAATTTTGACACTCACTATAAGTTATGGTGAATATGAATGTAATATTATTTTCTCTCCGAATTTTTTTTCAGTCATAAGGAAATGCGTTTTATTTCGTCAACAATTTCCGTTCGGAGTTGCAAATCATCATGTAACGTATGCAGTATATTATGAATAAAAATGCGTTTTTCTATTACACAAATGATAGTGACAAGTCTTGATAAAGATGTCAAGACACCTGTTCAGTAACTACAAAATGAGAATTTTTGTACGCGCCATTATTGAAATTGGCAACGATTTGATTGCATTGCATGATTAAATAACAATTAAAATTTTGTTGCCGATCTCTGATATATTGCCAAGACGAATTAGTAAGCATGATCAAAAAAGAGTTAAGAGAGTTATGATAATGAATCAACATAATTGTGATTGAATTAAACAGTATCGCCATGTACATAATGCGTTGTACTCAAACATTTTTTTATTCAAACTCAGTCGCTTGTTGACGGTTTAAACAACGAGTATTCAATAGTTTTCTGTTCGATATCAATTAGTTCCTTAGTTAAATTTAAGTAATATTTTATATTTATTGTTTTTTATGAAATACGCTAGCATATAGTGCACGTGAAATAGTTTTGAATCGATCGATATATAAACACGCGATGGGGTTGAAACGTCGTCATCAGAAAAAGAAGCATCAACAATTCGATCCACAAAAGGCTGTGAAATTAGATCATAAGCGAAAATGTTATATTAACGATGAGCCACCCAGATATCCATTGATTGCAACACCTCGACAGTTACAGAAACGATTTCATTATTACAGTGAAAGTGAATCTGAAATTGAAGAAATAAACAGTGAGGATGAGTCGAATACTGAATACATAGAATCCAGTACAGCCGAAGCCAAAGACTTAATTTGCATGAGCTCGAGCTGCAACGATTCTGGCTTTAAAAGTGGTGGAACGGCTCCAGCAAATCAAAAAAATATGTTGGGTAAGGCGAACCAACCGATTAAAAAATAATGCTCAAAAATATTCCATCGAATATAAATTTTTTCAACTCCTGTAAATATTCTCACTCCAAAGATAGATTATCTATAGAAAGATGAAGATTCGTGACATATTGCGATGCATTCCATAGACCACAAATTAAATTTCAATACCTGAAATTGTCAATTTCAATTTACGTATTCAGTTTCAATATTCGGACAGCCCTTTTTCGTCAATGTTTCTCCATGAATACTCAATAAGTTCTAAATAGAAAATGTTTATTTCAAACAATAGAACTTAGTTATTTGCCTGCATGAACCAGAAAACATCAATATTCTCAATGTGGCTCTTTTTGCATCATTAGAAAACATTTGTGATGAGTAAAATAGAGAAAGATGGAAATCTCTTCTTTTTTTTTTTTTGAAACTTAAATAACCAAATGAATATGTTTTTGATATGTTTTTATTCTTATTCGTTGATTCCTATTTGGCAAGTTTCTCAGCCGTTAATTTCAAGTTGATGTATAAATTTTATATTTGTTAAATTTCAAGTGGAATTTAAAGTCGAAATACTTTGAACTGTCCCACAACAGAACCCATATTGACAACATTGAATGCCGCTATATCCAGTATAACGAAAGTAAAAAAAAAGGTCCCACAGAACGAAAAAAAAAGATTTATCATCTCGAGCATAAAATCGATCAACAAATATCATTATTTTTTGAAATTCTTTTAACGACGAATAACATGGATTTTTCTTTCCTCGACTCTTTATTCGCACTTTTGTATGTATATTGATATCAGTATGTCAACAATGTCAATAAAATGTGAATTTCCGCATGATATATATCGCATACTATACCAATTAAAGTAAAATTAAAATTATTCACACTTCAAATAGATGTAAGCAACGGGTTAACGAACATACGAAGTATAAACGATTGTAAACAAAAAAAATCGCTACGACACGAATTACAACGAGCTTATTTCTCAAAGCCACGAATTATACGGCAGTGTGTTCACTCAAATAAATAACTCATCACATATTCAGACAAAGCAATGCACATTTGATTAAAGGCAACGCAATGACAACGTCATAGTCTGACGATAAAATACATTGATGATGGGGAGATGAAAATGTGTACATGTGGTATACTATAAAGCAAACAACAATATCAAATACCATCAAAGCATTGGCTTCCTAATAGAAGAAAATTTACCGTTTGTTTGCAATTGTAAATAAACATCGTTGTGTGTAGGCCGAACGAGTGAAATGGTGAATGACTCTGATATATTTTGCATGAACTAGAATAATCTAGAGAATAATAGTGGCACTCAAACAATATGTCGATTTCGTTTCATTGTCTCTTATTGTTTTGATCAAAACGATAAACATTCTGACACTTTAACATTAAACAAAAAAAAATATCTTAATGCATAACCAAATGAAGTATTTCAACTTGTATAAATTTGTGTTTTCCAGACTCATTCCTACCGCTATTGACCATAATATACGTTATAAGATCACTTTTCAAAGATGTTTTAAATTATTTTTAGTTCGTCTGAACAAATCTTTGTTATGGGGAAGTTTCAGAAAGTCCCGTGTAAACAGTGTGATTGCAACCTTGAACTGCATTCAAATTGAATGTCAAAAACAATTTATATGCGAACGTCAATCAAATACAATTTATTGTAATGGTCAAGGAAAATTAGTGTGCCAAAATTGATGGTTTCTTCGTTCTTTTTATCACTTGAATGTCCGAGAATGAATATGAGACTTTTACACACAGAGAAAAAATGCGGTATATTTCAATAGTTCAGTAATTTTTGGTGTAGGGCGGCGCCACCGTATGTACATAGAAATTTACATTTAAACTAACGCCATCTAACGTGTTTGATAATTTTTTTCCCCAAAAAAGTGGCACTTTAACCCGTCTTTGGTATATTTATTTATTTTATTTTCCATTTGGCTAGAAGATTTACCATTTTTGAGATTTCTATGAGGCATGTTTTTCAAATGAGACTATTTGTTGAATAAATTTCACCAACGGCTTCATTACATTCACCAAATTCATGGGCTAGCGCCATTTGTGGTTTCAAAACGTTGGTAATCTTGTTGTTATCAGAAATGTTGTATTTTAAATTTTGGTTTCGTCACTCGTTCTTCGCCTCGACAGGTTTTTTTTATTTCATTCAAGATACAAGTATGTTTTCAGTTATTGTTTACTACAATTGTATTTCGAGCTAAGTGTATTTATATTTACTCATCGGACGCCACATAGTACCATATATTTTCTTATTATTCATCACATAACTGTCGCTGAGAATGAAAATGACTTGATGAATCACTCCAACTGATCTCGCTCAAGGAAACATCCTTCAGTGAGAGCAAGAGTGAAATTATTCAAATCACTTTCATTTTTAGCGATATAATTATTACAAATTATTATTATACAAAAAAATTTGGTCTGAAATTTACAGTTTTGCAAATTTTTACATTGTCAAAGTCTGAACATTCCAAAAAACTCAATGAATTTGTCTTTTTCTTTCTAGAAACATCTTTCACTTATGCACAGTACCTTGCACAGCATCAAACAGGCAAAATTACTCCACCAGCAACCACACTACCTCATTTCAAAAACTATACAGTAAATGATTTTCACTTCTTAGCTGTGCTAGGAACGGGAGCTTTCGGTAAAGTATGTTTAAAAATTTTATTTTTGAAAAATTATTTGTCAAGTGACTATTTTACTTTGTTTGAAGGTTTATCTGGCTGAGATTTGCAACACTGAGTATTACTACGCGGTGAAATGTCTCAAAAAAGACGTTTTAATTAGGGATGATAATGTCGATTGCACATTTACTGAGCGCAAAGTTCTCACTCTGGGCACACATCATCCATATTTGTGTCACTTGTACTCTACATTTCAAACAGAGGTGAAACATTAAAGTTCAATTTTGAATCTACTACATCAATAATTACATGTCTATTTTTCAACTTTATCGTTTTTATTCTCCATTTTTTCAATTAAGAATCATCTATTTTTTGTGATGGATTACTTGATTGGTGGAGATTTGATGTTTCACATTCAAGTAAACGGTCGCTTCAGCGAGAGCCAGGCAAAATTTTTTGGTGCCGAAATTGTTTCCGGATTGAAATTTTTACATAAAAAAGGAATTATTTATCGGTATGTTTTTTTATTTTATATAGATTTTTTTTGTGTGCGAGAAATTTTTTTCAGATGGTGATTTCGTTTTTTTGGAGGTCACTTTTGTCAGTGAAAATCCCTAGCAAATCGAGAGAATTTATCCTATTTCGCACTTTTGTTGAGTAAAAAAAGGTCTTCTCTTTTTGAATCAAAAACCCTAGCAAATCCGAAAAATTTTCGTGAAAAATTATTCTCATCCAAATCACAGGGGGGTAAATGTCCTCCTCCACACACTACTGACAAAAGAACATACTAACGCCGTCTCTTTGCGTGCTACACTTAGTTGCTTAGTATGTACTGGTTCAAATTGCGACTGAATGTTAGTAGACGGAGAAACGAACAATTTTTTTAAAGTTTTTTTTGATATGTCGGGTAATCATAGCTGGGCAGACAGAGGGGGAGAAGGGATTACCCCATCCTGAGACATCAAATTTTTGCGTTACCTTCATTATTATTATATATTCATTATTTTGGATAGATTTTTTCTCATTCTGCTAGGGTTTTTGGATCATAGCTGAAAATGTCCTATTTTGCTAGGAGTTTTTGAGGAAATTACCCCAATCCCCCCTGATTTTTTCAGTCTGCCCAGCTATGCGGGTAATTCACAAAATTACTGGCTTGTCCCATAGACAAGTTTGCGCCTACCTCTACTAAATGGTAATCATACATACATGAACCTTAATACCAATAATATATTGCCTCAAACTTGGATGATGGAAATAAAGTAAAGGAAAATTATGAGGATGGGAAATTCCTGTCGATCTAAACAGTATTTTTTAGAACTAAATTAATAAGATTTTTTGAAACAGATTGTTTGTTTTCTACGGGCCGTACCTTTTAACGATTAAATTGTTGTAAACAATGCAATCGACAATCAAACATATTTTACACTTGAAACAATTAAAAAAAGAAAATTTAACAATTATCACAGCTGAACAGAGGTGACCGAATTTTTATAGCCCAAAAATAACCGTCAATAACATTTAAATAGTAGCCATTTAGTGGTTTCGTTTGTTGATAAGTTCTTTCAATTTACAACCGTTGAGTTATAAAAATGTGCATTCTACCTTGGAAATGTTGAAGGTATATTGTGCCCCTGTAAAATTCTTATATTCGTTTGCAGTTAATGGCCACTTATTCTATATAAGAAGATAAAACTCATTGGATTGAATGTCCCCTGATACGAATTGTGCTTACAACGTATAAACTTATCAAATCGATCTAAAAGAAAACAATAAATATGGGAAAGGTACACAAAAACCAACTGTGTGATATAAAAAATAATGACAATCATTTGTCCCAATGGGATAATTTCTTCGTTGTAAAAATCTAAAAAAGATACAAACTTGATCAACGTTTGTAAAAACGTGGAGAATCTTTGCAACACAATATGGTTTCCTTTTACATACATATATATATATATATACAGAATATTTCATAACTCAAGATCAATATTTCTAACACACATTTCTTGGACCCTGGGGAGTAAAAAATCTTAGCATTCTGATAAATGACATACAGACGGCCGTTTCGGCTGGACTTCTCGATAGAAATTTATGGTAGAGGGCTCGTTGGAAAGGTATTATATTCCATCATCTACATCACATAATATAAATAAAAAAATTCGGCGAAGTCGTAGTCATAGTATCGAAAAAGTCGGAGAATTCAAGTAAAATCGTAATTTTTCTCAAAAAAAACGTAACTAACCTATCTATTTTATGACCCAGATTGAAAGATCATGAACTTTGTCTGAAATGCAAATTTTTAGCAGCCAGAAACTCATACGTGTACACCCGACGAACCACTCATTTTTTATTTTTCAATAAACCATTGTAATAAGCTAGTACCAGTTTTGAACTGGTTGTCTGGTTTGACAACTGATCTAACGATCCGAAGAACTCAATGGTGCTAACTGTTTTGTCAGATCGATTCAATGTTCCTGAGATAATCAACATGGAATTTACCTTTTCGAGTGAATTTTTGAAAATTCGTATTGGGATGGTTTCAGGGACGAGAAAAACAATTTTGATATTTATTTTGTAATAGACACACTTTGACACAATTCCCACTCCCGATTTCTTGAGATTTTTGGACGATGGAAAGAAGTAAATTTTTGAATGGGAAATGTGTCCAAACTTAATTTTATCACAAAATGAATATCTATATATTTGTATCGCGATATATGTAAAAAATCATGACTAACCAATGAGCCATAAGTTATGATGATAGATCAAAATTACTTGCGATTGCAAGGATAATGTGAAGTACTGGTCTGACCTCAGACGCATTTGAAAAAATATATTTCTGGTTAATAATCAATATATACTTATAAATAGTTTAACTATGTAGTCAAACAAGATACCACAAAATACGTTATACAAACTAACAAACATGCATTCTCACATAGTATTGTATTAATATCTCAACGTTATGCTCTGCTTCTTAGTGATTTAAAATTAGACAACATTCTACTAGATTTTGATGGCCATGTGAGAATTTGTGATTTCGGATTGTGCAAACTAGATATTTACTTGGATCGAACGGCCGAAAGCTTTTGTGGAACGCCTGATTACATTAGTCCAGAGATTATAATGGTATGGTTTATAAAACGGAAAGTGTTGAACGTGTTTTATTCATTCAATCGATTTTCTATCTATCTTCTTTATGCTAAATAATGATTGTTAATTTTTTAGGGCCAAAAATATAATCAAAGTACAGACTGGTGGTCATTTGGTGTGCTTTTATATGAAATGTTGGTGGGACAGTCGCCATTTAGTGGTTGTGACGAAGACGCTTTATTCTGGTCAATTTGTAATGAAATTCCATGGTATCCATTCTACATAAGCGACTATGCCTTGAACATATTAGGCAAAGTAAGTGTCGGTTTTCTTTATTTATTTATGGAAATAAAATTAACATTAAATGAATCGAAATGTCGATAGTTGTTGGACAAAAAAACGAATACTCGATTAGGTTCACCAACCAGTCCGCATGGTGAAATTACCGAAAATGTCTTCTTCCATGAAATTGATTGGAAAAAGTTGGAGCGTAGACAATTGGAATCACCTTTTAAGCCAGAAATTGTAAGAAAAACTTTTATGGTTTGTATGATATTGATGAACAACATCATTCAAATGAAATTGATTTTGACGATTACATTTTTTAGAAACATCCATTGGACACACATTACTTCGATCGAGCGTACACAAGAGAAAAGGTGCGATTACCATCAATAATAGATCAAATAAAGCCATGGGATCAGGAAAAATTCAAAGAATTCTCTTACACAAATCCAAATGTATCATAGCCTTAATTTTTGTCTGATTTATTGAAATATAGATGTTTTATTCTGAGTGGCAATAGCCATTCACCATTATTAAATTAGTTGTTTGTTTTTGATGCTCGAGAAAATAGTATACAGACATAACGTGCAATATTAAAAAAAATACTCGCGATGAAATAAATAATCTAAATCTAATATCTACTTCTAAATAACAAAAGAGAAATCAACACCAATAACAAACCCACCCCCACTCCCACTCTATCGACGCCAGCAACTTTACACATCAAAAAAGCGTTTCCCCCTAGTTGGACGGTCGTGTTATGAGCCATCATCTGAAACGAGATAATATCAAGAATATAATAAATAATTTGGTCAAATTCGTGTGGCTATCATGTTAAATGCCCACTTCGAATGACATGGAAAATAAGCTGAGTAAAATATTGTGTCTTTCATTGTAACGCGTTAAACGCAACCAACTTCAATTGAAGAATTTTTATCTGGTATTTCCAGTGATTATTATGGATTATTATTCATGACCAAAAAGAAATCTAATCAAAAAATGAAATGAATGAACTGACTGTGTTTTTTTTTTCATATTTGTTTCCTTTATTATAATTTTAGCTAGAATCGTGGCACAATTTAAAACAAAATTTACTTTTTTTTTAAATTTAAATGAGTTTTACATTTGTTTTAGTCAACAAAATGTCAAGAATTAATCGCTTGAGTATTATTTGAAAATGGTGTCCATTGTCCATGCCGGTTTGCTTCAATAAAATCACAATTGTTCGTATCATAACATTGCTTGCCGTCTTTACTCTTTTCTATGTTGTTGATTTACTATGTACTCATTCAATATTCAGCTAGATATAACATCGTTTACTATTCTAGTTAATTTTATTGTTAACTAAAACTAAACTATATTGTACCAGGTCGGCGTATTGCTAGTCTTCTTCTATTTGCTAATAGACCTAAAACAATAAAAAGCCAAACATTAAGACAAACAATTTTTGGCGTCAAAAAAAAAACAACAACAAACAAACCTAAGCCTCGCGGTGCTTCAGAAGATGCTTCAACTAAAGCTGGTGGTGCTTCTTCTTCTTTGGCATTACCCTCATTTTCCAAACTATCCTCTTTCAACTCACTTTGTGGATGTTTTACTTCCTCTGATGCTTCGTTGTTTTCTGTAGCTGGAGTTTCCTCTGTAAATTCAGACAGATATACATTTTTGTTACCATATATTTAATGCGGAATCTTGAGCTAACCTGTAGTTGTTGATGAGCCAATTTTTCGACGGGAAATTAATGGATTTACTTTTCGATTTGCATTAATATATGATGCAGCTGTCGGTTGTTTGTTAGTATTTGTGGCTTTTGGTTGTATTTGAATACGTGGACGATTACGTAGACGATTTAGTCCAGTTTGTGGAGTAGTTGATGGTTCAGCAGCAATTTGTTCTGATTCAGCGTCAGCAGCGGATTCTTTGTTCGTATCAACTGTTGATGTGCTGCTTCCTGCTGTTAATTCAGTTGAGCTACTTATTTCAAGCGATTGTTCGGCTGACGCAGATACTTTGGCAAATGGAGAGATTCTGCCCCGTGTGGATAGTAATTGATTTGGTCGTCTAAGATTGAAACGGGACGATGGTTTTAATGCGGCCGCTGTTGATGATTTTTCTTCACCATCTAATTTTGCTTCGGTAACAGATGATTCAGTATTACCATCTGTTAATGGTGCTGCCGTGCTAGAGGCCGTTGCTCGTGATCTTCCACGTAAATTAAAGGTTGGTCGCGTACGTAATGGCCGTTGAGTTGATGTACTTTGTGCAGATGTATCAATTGCATTTTCATCTGCATTCTTTTCTTCAGAGCTTACTGAAACAGGGGTTGATGATCGAAGATTGAAGCGATTTCGTGCTGAAATTTTTGGAAATATTTTATTTCATCAATTAATTGAATAACATATGAATGCTCTAGAATAAAAAACAGCATGTTAAATAGTTGCATATCAAAATCTTTATAAAAAACGTCTTGTTTCGATTTGATATCCAGCTATTTATAATGCATTCATGTGTAATTTTGACAAATCAAAAGTGTTAGTACTTCGGCCTCGTTGTACAGATGCGGACACACTAACTGGTTTGGTGCTTGATTTTACACTTAAGTCTTCTTCGGTTGACGTGACAGCTGTTGATGTTGGACGTGTTCGACCGCTGAATGTTGGTCGCGAGAATCGATCTGTATTTCGCAATTCAAATTTATAAGTAAGATTTTCTTTATCCTTTTAATTGCAAATGTAGGTAATGAAGACGGCTTACTCTTGGGTTTATTTTGAGTCGATGTAATTTCCGATGAAAGCGGAGAGCTTTCCTTTAATTGTTCTTCTGAGGTTACTTTAGATTCCGTTGGTTTTGATCGTCCTTTCAATGTATTTCTACGACCTGAAATATTAAAGATCCGATTACAAAAAATGTCTCTCCATGAAGATAAACAAACGATTTTGACCTGCGCCAAATGATGGAGTACGTCGACCATTAATGAGAGTCGATGGTTCGGTTGTTGTGGTTGTGGTTGTGGTTGTTGTCGCTTCAGTAGTTGAAGCAGCAGTTGTTGTTGTTAGTGTTTCAGTTGTTATGAGCTCCTCTGTGGTTATTGGCTAAAAATAAATATAAATTTTTATCATTCAGGTGTTTTGATTTATTGTTATTGGTTTCTTACCAAACTATCTGATAAAGTGCTTGATTCGTCGAAAGGTGTAACGCTTGTGCTCAAGTCAATATTTGAATTTTCGTTAACTAAATGTGCATACAAATCCAATGCAACTTTGTCCATAACCTGTGTGGTTGTTTCCTCACTATCGCTAGTTGATGTGGCACTTTGTGGTACTGATTCCGTTACACTAGGTGTATTGGTTGGATTTTCGCTGATTTTCAAATCATTTGCTTTCGAAAATTCATTTTCCAAAATACGTCCCTTTGATTGTACTTTTTCACCGCGATTAAATGACTGACTGTCAACTAATTCCAAGCTCGGACGTTTGATGCTTATCTTTTTTGTTGTTTCATCTACATTGCTGAGAACCTGAACAGATGGTGTGGCTGTACTTCGCGGCGGGAATCTCGTATTCACAGGCAAACGTTCTTCGCTTGTTTCTTCAACTACTGGAATTGATTGACGGCCTTTGCCGCGCGATGTTGGCAATTCATTACGTTCAAAGCTTGGTTTTGGTGTCGTGCTGATTTTATCGTATCGATTTTTTCCATTATTTTGGCTTTCAATCGATTTATCATCGGTAACAGTTGCTGATTTCTTAGTATCCTTATCCTTATCATCATCATAGTAGTAATATACGTACTCGTATTCATAGTCGACACCATTCGGTCCTTTTTTCACTTCAATTCTTGATGTCTAAAATAAAATTTTTGGTTTATTTTATCAAAATTTAGTTTTGTTTTGTTTAGTTTCAAATCTTCTTTTAAAAAATACCTGTTTCTTTTCCGAGGTAGAGTCTACAAGAGAGTCCACAACAACTGTGTCATCTTGAGCTTTGGGTATATACTTAACCGTTGTTTGAACAGGAGCTGATGTTGTTGTTGTCACAATCGTTGTTCCGACCTTCGATGCTTCCGATAAAGGACTCGAATCATATTCGGCATGACGTTTTTTTGCATCAATTGATTGTCTAACATCAGCGTTAATCAAAGCACTTGTTATGGGATCTAATTCAGGCCGATTTTTTGTCGAATGGAATGAATGTTTGTCCAAATCGATTGCTCTAAAATGCCTTTGCTACAATTCGAAACAAACAACGTTGAACTTAGTCATTTAAAATGTTAAAAGAATTCAATCCCAACAATTCGTCATCAAATAAGATTAAAAAACTGGGATAAAACCCGATGTGAATCAGTTCTATCTCACCTTTATTTCGTATGCGTCTTCCGATTTTGCTAACGCCAGTAATACAAGTCCAAAAATAAATCTAAAAAAACCAACCCAAAAATAAAAACATAAAAAATGGATAAATTAAAGTGGATTCAATAAATAAATGAAAGAAGCAAATAAACCAAAATAAACATATGAAGCAAATATGTAACGGTTCATATTGTATTATATACTATTACAACGTAAGCACATTCGGTTCGATATTCAACTGGCCAGCCAAAAAAATGTCAACAACTATTCAATTGGCCAAAGATATTATAATGTTGAAATTGCAAAGAACTCGATTTCACAATTATAACAAGCGTGACGTTTTCTTTGTGTTTTTCAAACCATACCGTCAGTCAGTCCAATTGACTTACGAGCAAATCATGATTGACGTTGCAACGAGATGTACAATAGCAGTCAATGTACAATAAATGCACAGTTCGCAAGCATATTCTAACCAGAAATGACAGAATACACAATACATAGGTATGACACAATGAGTTCATTGTTTGTTTACTTATAAGAAATGTTTCATATGTTTTAATATATCGAAAACATTTTTTATTTCAACACTAAAAACGTTATTTTCCACATTTTGAGAATTTAAGGCTGACAATTTTCGAAAATCTAAGTCCCAAAATTGCTTGTTAGTTATTGTGTTATTTTATTAGAACGTTTCATTTTTGTATCGATTATTTTCTCGGTTAGTTTCTTACATTCCGCTTTAAGTTTTTTTTATTCTTTTTTTGCGATATATTTCGTTTTTTTGATGCGGAAACTTTTACTCTCGTCCAATCCATGTTTCTTTAGATTTTTTTTTCGATTATCTAATAAACTAGTTCAGTATGGCTTTGGTACCGTCTCCAAATGAGCGATTTTTGAAAGGTCTTGGTTCAGTCACTGTAATTATCGCATCTGTATGCAAATGACCTTTGAATTTCTGAAGAGAAAATCCAAATACCCGTTTATATTATATATTTTCGGCACCACCACCGCCGCTATTGTTGCTGGTCTCTTAGAGCTAGTTATGTTTGCACATATATTTATTATTCATAATATAATACCACTTGATGGTGGTTTTGTTAAAATGTTAATTTCGAGATAACTAATGTAAATGTTTCAAATATACAAGAAGGTAATGTAAGAGACGACATAAGAAAAAAATAAGAAGAAGAAGAAGGAATTTTAATACATGAATCACGCTTGAATACGCGCATGATGAAGCATACGATCTTTGAAGGTCAATCAAAAATTCCAAAATTCACTTTCACCGAACGATTTAATTGAATGGAAGTGTTCAAAGAGAGCGAAGAAACAAGCAGAAAAAAAAAACATAACAGACCAATAGACTCTCAATGTGCGCCAAGAAATCCACAAAATACCAATTAACAGGGAAAAAACGACATCATTTAAGTCATTTTATCATTAGCATAATACATACACATTGTATTTCAGCTTTATTTTGAACACTTTCGAAAGTTTCGCATTACAATGGGAAAGTTTTTTTTTGCTCGTTCATGTATGCATTTTTGATGGAAGCATCCACAAGTGGCCATTCAAACATTCATCTATAATAACATTTCTTGTTTGATCTCTTTAAAAGTGTGTGTTGTGTGGTCCTCTATAAATATACACATAATAACTATATATTTGAATACAGGACAAATGCTTGAATGCTGAATAAAGATGAATGAGCATTCTTAGAAATCATGAGCTCACTGGAATTCCGCCTGACAACTAAGATGCAAGAAAGAAGGAAACATATAGGAACTTTCGCTATATCATTTCACCTCAAGGTAAATGTTCAAAACATTCATTTGGAATGCCATTTAAGCAGTCGTAAGAGAAATATACATACATATATGTTATGTATACATGGAATATATTCCATTCAAAATCTCAATCGAACAAGCAAGCAAAAGCAAAAAAACATTAGATCATGACCGAAGCGTTTGTAAAATATTTGAAGAGAGTGGGCTTCAATTCGATGCGTACATATGTGATTGGTAAGTGTATTGTAAATTCAGATGCAAATTTCGAAATGATGAGGAATGTACTTTCATGTTGAATGGCGTTGTTGCGTTGTTTCTGTTATTGTCTGTTCAACTCTCCGACGATGTTTCATTTCTATTTTTATGTTTAATACTTTATGCGAATTTCTTTTTCTAGAACAATAAAATGTTGGTACTTGATCAGGAATTCAACGTGATCTGACAATTTAAAAGCAAATTTTAATTGGTATACTGCATCTCAAATCAGAAAGCTGAGTGAATGCCTAAGTATGGTGGATGTACTTCAGAATGCTGTTTGAATAGCGGCAATGTGTCATGTACGTGAGTGAGTGTTGAACCCGTTTAATAATGTGTATTATGTGCAAGAAATGAACGAAGTGAACTAACATTAAACCATATCTACATTTGTTGGCTGAGTTGCTCGCTCGGTTTACCAAAGAATGTTTTTATTTTTTTTTTACTCGTCGTTTTATGTTTCTTCTTCTTTGTTAGTGCTCTTTCACCATCTCTTTTTTTCTATCTGCTATATATGCTTCTCACTCTCTGCTGTTTTGTATATTGCAGCTAAACTTCTTGTTAGCAAGTGTTGTTGTTCTATCATCTGTATGGTACCGTGCATTGTGGACCGTATTTTGATTCGTATCGGTTTTGTTTTGCATTCATAAGCTCGTACACACGCTTTGCACATTATGTGTTACATGCACGAAAACCATTTGACGATATCCCAGCATGTATTGATACATTAAGTTTAATAACTGAAATCATGTATTCATTGTGGCATATAATCGAAGACGCATTTGACGCATTTATAATGCATTCGTTTGAATAGCTTGAACCCGTACGTTTCATTTAAATGACAAAATGTTAAAATAAATTACAAACAATGTGGAATGGAAACATACCACAAGCTGAACCATTCAATATCACCATATGTTTGCTTTTGCAACCACATTGAAGATAAATGAAGAGAATAATTTTCAATTCATTTTTAATTCAAATGGAAAATCACGACTAATGACACATCAATTTTGGATTTTGGTACCCAGTTTTCATTTAAATAATAATATTCTTGTTTTTTATGTTTCTTTTTTTATTTATCTTTTTGATCGTTATCATAGTAATATGTAGCATCATCACCATTGGCATTGTCGACGTCTCTGTATGTTGTTTCTGGTTGTTGGTTAGATGTGTGTCTACGTGCGTGCCAAAATTCATATAGTAGGAGATTTTGGTATATACACAATATTGTGTTATTGATATTGCCAGACGAAAAAGGTGCAAATAGCTATAGACAGAACCATATTTGACATTAGCGCATTGCTAAATTCACATCAGAAATAATTGGCGTGAAATTCGGCTTCGATATTCAAAGGCTATTTTTTCCTTTCTCTCTTTAATGCCAAATTGTATGTCGATGTGGAGAACTTAAACTTTTTAGACTCGAAAATTTGAGCACATGAAAATAATTGAAATCCAAACGGACGATAGATAAAATGTACTAGTGTTGCAACTAGGCCAGGTTTGTATTCAGTTTTCTTGTCTTCAATATTGAATCTAAAATAAAACGTGTGAGTATTGCATAATTCATTCGGAGAGAAATGAAATGGTTTATTAGTTACTGCATTTTTATTGGGCCAAAGAATGTGGCGTTTGATATTCAAAGAAAGCCACATTATAATGAAACATAAAGAATAAAATAAAATGAACGAGGAATAGATTACATACTATGTAAACAAAGAGATACAGAGGAAGTAGTAACAAACTCCACACACAATGAAAAAGGGCATATCATTCTGTAGAATTCATTTCATGATAGGTAAGTGGAAGCACATACACACGCACACACTTACTTCTTCACGAATAGAATCAAAAATGAAAGCCCTACTTCTACTCAATAAAGTATTCATCGCACATTTAGTTACGAATTTATGCATAATTTCATTAGATAACATATACTCAGCGCCCCAAATCAGTTGCAATGTAATTCTTGGTTTTTATTCACAGTACACAGAAAAGTTATCTACCAAATGTTTTCGTCACTCGTTCTTCACCTCGACAATGGTTTTTTATTTGATATCAGTAAATTACAGTAATTTTGTGAGAGACATTTTCCAAATTAAAGATTCAAAACATCGCCATACATGAATTTTAATCATTTTCAAATACAATGAAAATAAGGATTTTTAATTCTATAAATTATGAAAAATCATAATGAAGACGGCCAAATTTTTTATCTTTGAATTGTGGCTTAAATAGATGAAATTTTCAAAAGAAACTAAGCAGTATTTTTCAAGAAGGCTATTCGGAAGCTTACTTTAAGACCTTCCCAACGATATGCATATGTCCGGGGTGTGTTAATTGGAGGCGCCACAGTGGCTGAATGAAAATACATCATGAGCTAAGCGGCATTTTATAGCTTAGACTTAGGCCTAAAATCGATGAAATTTTCAAAGGAACAACTTAGGCTCGTTTTCGAAATAATGGCCGTATGCATAGATTCTTATATAATTCGCATAGGTCGCCCCAGCTAGAATTTTGAGAAAATATGCGATTTTCCTGGGGTTTTTGACAAGCAAAAAATTATTCCATTTTGCTAGGAACAAACAAAAGCATACGGTACATCTTTGTATTCTGTTATTTTCCTTTCAGACTTTCATTGTGTAACGCAGTATATGGTTTGTAAAATTCACACCAATTGAACAGAGTCTTTGCTCGTTTTAGTTTTAAGAATTCACAATATCGCAATAGGTTAAAAGAAACCCAGAGCAACGAGGAACTACGGACACCGCTGAAAAGTGAGCCTAGTACACTCCCCGTTTCAATCAAATAACCCAATACTGAATACAAGCACTCATATCGAATTTTATTAATGCGAAGAAATAGGCTTTTGTACATTTATAAAGGGTGTTTCAAAAGCGATTTTCGAACTTCAAATTGTCAAACCGAAAGTTGAATTGAAACCAGCTCATATATTAGATCTAGATAGATACACTGTCATTAGACAAGACAATAACTCAATTCACCTTGTGGTTTGTTTTATTTCAATTCAAAGTATGAACATTTCTATTGAAACACCCTTTATTCACCATCAAAAAATGTGAATATGGTAAAGCAAAGGAAAAAAATTCAGCAAAATTGTGAATTGGGAAAAAGGTGAATGAAAAAAAAAAAAAATAATCCCACTGCCAATGTACACACTTGCTTCATGACTTGCTTGTTTATACAAATACATTTCTCAAATGGATACCAATTGACACAGTCGGCATTAACAACTTTTAAGTGACAATGCCATATTGCGTGTGCGTTTTGATCATAAGACCTAAATATTTACGCAAATAAATTAATGAGCAAATGGAATCCAGATGGAATTGTAATAAATGCAAAACCGAAAACTTAAAATAAAATAAAATTAAATTACATCACTTACATGCAGCGAATCATCATCTTTTGAACACTTTCACTTTTCATTGAAAATAAAACCTTATTCTTTTGCTCTCCTATTTATTCAATGTCGACGTCGTTTATGTCAACTTCTTCTTCTTTTTCTATATTTCTTCTTCGCGTTACCAGATTTCGCTTTATTCCTAGTATGTTTTTTATCTTTATTGATTCGGTGGTTTTGTTGTTGCTATAATTCAATATGAATTTAAATAAAATTAATAAGATTCGCCCACATTTGTTGAATAAATTGCCTTAGCATTAAATATTAAAAAGTGTAGAGAAAAGTGATTAACCGTGTATTATTTATGATTATTTGCATTCTTATATCTGCATAAACTGATTAAAATGCAACTAGTTTAGTGTACAAAAGCAATTTTGTATAAACCAAAATCATTTTAAGGATATTGAGGGGGAAAATGAGATTTTTTTAATCTTTTGCATCAACACAGTTGAACTGATAAAAATCACTGATATTTTTTAATACTGACTGTCACTATGAACTTTTTTCTTTGTTTAAATTTAATCTTTGGTTTTTGTTTCTTTTAGAGTTTTTTAAATTCCATTTTTATTCTACTTAAAACGATGTCATTATTCATCGCTATGTTAATCCATACATGTGCTTTCCATATTTATATGAATCGTTGCACTGAAAAAAGCTTTTATTTTGTTTCAACGTACGCAATTTTCAATTTTCGAATTTTTATCCTGATGCCATAATTGAATTTTATTACAAGAGCATGTAGATTCCACGTGTTGCATGACAAAGTACGCACATTTCAAAAAAGACAATCTAAAACTATTTACTACACCAAATAAGACATAGAAAAAGCCATTGCTAAAGAGCAAAAAGATTCACCGTCTTTCATGTAATGATGGTGATTTTCATTGTTGATTTATTTACTTGATAATTGCATCGGCTTGAGATTGCGGTTACTCATTTATTCACCTGTATCTACAGGTCAATTCTAAATACATTTACGTGGTTTTTTAAAATTTCATTCTGTGATATATGCAGTGTCTCCTTCTCATGGTGTGTTATTTGTTTTAACTTGAATGAATTTTGGGCAAGAAAAATGTGTCCGAATGTAGTTTCGTACAATACGTACATTGTATAAAGATAATATACTGTAGTTTAAAATAAAAATCAAATGCATCAGAGACAGTAAATTATACTGTAGACCGCAAGGAATGTATTCTTGCCTGATACCAGGCATATCTGACGACATATTGTTTGCTTCTGTTTCGAAACGAAACTTCCGCATTTAGTTTCTAACCTGAATTTGATCGTACATTTGAATACAAAAACTGTGTTGCATTCCAGTTTGTTTAAGCGCAACTCAACTAGTCGTTTCTATTTTTGCCTTGAATGCTTTGATTTGTTTTCCGTGATTAAAATAAACTACTGTAATGAAAATGTCAGAACACAAGTGAATGTAAAAAGGGCAGAGCGAGAGAATGAGAATGAAAGTAAAATAGTATGCGAATATTTAATTTGCTCTTTTCACGTTCTCGATACTTTTCATATAGCACAATAGTTGTATGCTCTTTTATCGTATTATCCTTGTTCAAATTATGTGAAATATAACATACTTTATCAGTTTATCATCCGAAGTCGAAATATTGAATTGATATTTTCTATTGATAAGTAAGTTTGTTGATATTTTCATAAATATCAAATTTTAATATATTTTATAAAAAATTTTTTAATATATTTTATAATATATTATAATTAATCATTGAAAATGCAAACTTAGACCTTGTTTGACAGTCAAGCTGAGTGTCAGTGTTTTAGCCAATATACGAAATGGATTTACCTATAAAACAGTTGCAACGAAAGTATTTTCAAGGTTTTTTTTACAAAACATTAGTTGATTGCCACAGAAAATTGAAATTTAATATATTGAGCACCTAAATGCACCTTAATTCATCGAAATTAAGAGACGAGTGTGATGTGATGTCGTCTGTTTGCTTCATCTTCCATAAAAATTCACCTTTTCTTTCGTTTTATTTTTCTTTTAATGTTTTTCTGTTTTCTTTTCGCCTTTTTTTTGTTGTTTTTAATATGAAATGACAAAATACATAAATTTTTACTCATTTTATTGGATATAAATACATCTTTACGCAAATGCAATTCAACGTGATTCACACATACTATACGTTCTCCGCCGAAAACGGAATAAAAACGAAACACAATAAAATAGTGTTGAAAATACGTACGAAATACCAGTTTCGCATTCCAATGGAGCATTATGATATCGCTTATTATTAACGGAATAAAAATCACAAATGAAATAACGAGAGAAAGAAAGAGGCGTACAAGTGAGACAATGTGCTCGTTCGTTATATAAGATTTAAATAAGAGGCGACACTCTGCCGGTAATATTTATTGTTGTTGTTTACAGGGTTTGCTTTCGTTGTTGTTTGTTGTTTTTTTTTTCATCGCTATTTTTATATTTTTCTTTATAATATAATTAATATTTATCTTGAATTTCATGAAATCTGCGGTAAGTTGATGTGCGATATAGTCCACTTCCTGAAATTTTAAATTTTTTGTCTGCGATGGTGGGACCAAAAACAACATCAAGCTAAATAATTGAGAGTTCACAATAATCATGTGAGTTCTCAAATTTCAAGTGAAAAAGCAAAACTAAAAAAAGAGAAATAAAATTCTTCACAAAAAGAAGACATTTTTTTCGGCGAGTTCAAAAGATAAGCAAAGAAGATTAGTTTGAATGTTCAAAATAATTTAAATCCAGTAACATTTTATTTGAAATTGGTGATTTCATTCAATGTAACGAATCATAACATAAAAAAGATCGCTTGAATAAACATAAGATAGCATTAGTGATGGCAATGTCTCGAGTCTTGTGGAATGAATATTTCTCTTGTATTATTTATGTATGTATTCGCGTATGTGTATGTGAGTGTGTGTTGCTTGTAATTTTTAACAATTCGATAACACGATCAGCCGTGGCTGCTTTGAAGATTTCGGAGAGAACAAAAATTGAAAATGATCATTTTAAGCCGAGATTAAATTTCTTTGATTTTGGAATTTTAAGTAACGAATAATAATTTGGCGCACAAAAGAAGTTTTTCTCTTCAAAAAGTATCAAATCGTTTCGCATAAGATTGTCGCAATCATCGCGGTGACCTCTGACTATGTAGTTAATAAGATCTGACTGTGCGAAACGATGCAAATTACAACACATAACATCTGTTTTTTTAAAGATATTTTTAGGAATGGACAACAACATTTTGAGTTGAGTAAATCCTTTTAATTCTATGTAGCTAAAAATCTTTTTAAAAAGGGGAAACATCATTCAATACTCGAAATGTTTTCTTTTGTGTTTTTAAAAGTTATTGTAGAGTATTGAAGTGCAGTATAATTATTACTAATGCAATTGCTTTGATTGTCAAAACAGCGGATTCGTACATTCAACAAAAATCCATACAGGAAAATATTACAACGTCAAATAAAAGACTTCAGTAATAATGGACCAATAATTAATTGCAAGTGAATGAGCCCATAAAGTCACCGTAATTTGAAAATATAAGGCTATTTGAATATCAAATGCCAAAGAAATGCGTTGGTGGATAGATTGGCGTCAAGCTGGCCAGCACCGAATTTGCACATCTTTTTTAATTTTTTTTTTATTTTCTCTGCCGAACACGAGTAATAAGGGAAATATTGATTAAATAAATAGATATTATTTGAAACACGTAATATTTTCCAATTACGAGTTTGTTGTTCGATGACGGCGATTATTATGCAAATGATAGAAAATGTTTTTTTTTAATCGAATGAAAAAGACGAGAAAGAGAAAAACTGAAAATATTGTTGGTACGATTAAAAGTGGTATTCATTGAAATTGATTGCATGTAGGTAATATTAAGTGTGCATATGAATAGGGTTCGGTCATTGTTGTTGCTGGGTGTGACTCACATTTTATGCAAACATTGTTTGCATGAATTAATATGGACACGAGGAAAGGAACGTATCAAATGAGTGTGAACGTATCTCTTCCCTCCCCTCCCCTCCTTTCTCTCTCTCTGGAAAACGAGAGATCCACGAGAAATGCATAAATAAAAATTTTCGCCTAAACTATGGAGACATCATAAAATGCGCGAACACTTCAAGAGGAAGCGGTTAGCAAGTGAACGAAAAATATTTACGCAGCGAACAAAAATCCATTAAGAAAAGCGAAATGAAACTTCAGCTTTCGTTAAATGATTACATTGAAAACAATTTTTCCATCTTTACTTATTTTGCATGTATTTCAGTGAACATTTTAGCTTTATGCATGTACATGCACTGCACTTCCAGCATTTTTGAAATCGACCGCACACATACTTTCTCGTTCTCTCTCTATATCTGCTTGAGCACTATCTTGATTGCGTACAGATAAATGCATACATTGGAACGAATTTTATTTAAAAGTTAAATAAATATTATATGGCGATACCGATGTGTAGTACGTGACGTTTTTTTCGTCATTTCAACTTACAAAAATTCACAACCACAGCCGTAAACTTAGTTAGTGCTCTGGTTTCTTTTTGTCCTTCTACTTTTTCCTTATGTTATTTTTCGATATTTTCACTATAAATCTCGTTAAGTAAAGAGCAGGATAGAAGATGAAATCTTGTTTGTTTTGTATTGAAACATATCATTGAAATAGGGAAGCAAACATGAAATATATAAAAGTGACACCAGCTTTAATACCGTCAGATCAATAGACCGAACTTTGATCGAACGAATTATTAATCTTGCAATTATTGGTGAAAAAAAAAATCCTTGATTGAGAGCAGAAATCATAACAACAAAATGTAATGCCAATACAATTAACATAATATTTCTGGTAATTAGCACAAACATTGACATGCATAAATACACAAATTTAATTTAAAAGGCCAAAAAATTGTTTGTGTGTGTTTTGTTTATAATTGACAATTCATCATTGTATTGCTATTTTTGTTCTATATATAACGACTGACTACAATTAAGCAGCAAAAACTATGCCGAAAAAAACAAGCCAAAATGTTCGATATTAAACTTTTCTTCCGACCTGCCGCAGAAATAAATACGGTATATATATAGCTGTTGGATTAGTCTCAAAATGGAAGGGACGATCTTCTACCCTTAATCAAATTGAACAAATGTGGCACAACAATCAAAAGAAACAAAGTATA